AAGACTTTTCTTTCCCCATTGACTTACATTGGTGTCTTTTCAGGAAAATTAATTGGCTGCATATATGTAGGTCTTCTGGCCTCTATTCATGTTTTCCATTCTTCTATTTGCTTTTAGTCTGGAAAAAAAAAAAAAATCTTCTTTCTGTGTTTGCTATGCTGAGCAGTTTCCTCTTTTCCTGTTTACCTGTGCATTTCTTTCCCTTATAGGGCTGCCTGTTTCTAAGGTACCTTTAACTAGTTTTGGGAAATTCTCATTAATATTGTGTGTAATATTTCTCCTTTATTTTCTCACCCCTCCTTCTAGAACTTAGATTCTATGGATGTTAGACCTTTTAATTCTGTCTTACCTCCTTTTAATTCTATTTTACCTGTCTGTTAACTACTCATATTTTCCAACTCTGGATTTAGGTCATTTCATTAGTTCTGTTTTCTAATTCACAAATTCTCTCTTAAACAGTGTCCTTTCTTCTGTTTAGCCTATCTGATGACTTTTCATTTCAGTTGTACATTTTCAGTTCTACATATTCCTTCTGGGTCTTTAAAAAATTGACTTCTTAATTTTTGGTCATACTTAAGGGTACTCTCATAGTAAATGTTTTATCATATCTACAAAGACAGCAATATTTTTTGTTGTTGTAATTAATATCAAGTTTTTGTGGATGTGATTCAGTTGTATGGCTTCTAATATTAGCTCATTTCCTCCTCTTTTTTTTTTTAATGAATTTTTAAATTGTGAGTTCTTAGAACTTAACTTTTGAATTATTTCTGATTTAGGTTTAGGGTATGTTCCTCCAGAGAGAAAATGCATTTACTTCTCCCAGGACACTATCTACTCAGGACCATTTGACCTTAAATTTTCACTTGGTCTCACGAGTGAAGAAGGTCAGACTTGTTAAGAAGACCCCATCCCACTGTTACCACCACCACCTACTTAGACCCAAAGCTAGGAAAGGCAGGGGTACTCATTTTTATGGGGATGAAGTAAGCTTCTACTCCCTCCAGTGTGTCTTCACTAAAGGTGTTGCTCTTTGGGGACCCAATGTTTTGGTTATGATCTGGCTTCCCACTTTGAGCAGGTCCTAGGCTTTCTCTCAAGTGCGGTGCCATTTAAAGTAAAAACATGGTGAGAATGTGGAACAACTAAAACTCCCATCCATTGCTGGTGGGAGCATAAATTGCTTTTGGAAAACTTTTGACAATGTTTGGTAAAGCCAAATATAGGCCTACTCTGATTATCATTTAATTGCCACTTATATATCCAAGAGAAATAAATGCATATGTCCATCAAAGGGCATATAAAAGAGTTTTCACAACACCTTTATTCATAATTGCCAAAACCTAAAAGCTACTTAAATCTCCATGAACAGGAGAATGAGTCAGTTGTGACTGCACAGCAATAAAATGGCATAAACTACTGACATACACACAGCATAGATGAATCTCATAGACATTAGGTTGAGATAAACCAGACATAAAATGGTATTGCTGTATGATTCCATTTTGACTTTCCTGGTGGTTCATTAGTAAATAATTCTACCAGTGCAGGAGATGAGGGTTTGATCTCTTGGTTGGGAAGATTTGAAGAAGGGACTGGCAATCCATTCCAGTATTCTGGCCTGGGGAATCCCATGAACAGAGGAGCCGGGTGGGCTCTGGTTCATGGGGTCTCAGAAGAGTTCAACATGACTTAGTGACTAAACAACAAATGATTCCACTTACATGAAGTTCCAGGATAGACATAACTAAAATCTGTAGTGATAAAAGTCAGCCTGAAGACAGGAGATCCTGACTGAGAAGAGGAAAGAGGGAACTTTCTGGGATGATGGAAATCTCTATCTGAGTTGTGATCTTATGGGTAGGTATATTTGTAAAAATTGTTTGAGCTCTACATTCAGATTTGGTCACTTTAGCACTTCATTCTTACATACTTCCATTGTAAGAGCGGACTCACCGGAAAAGACCCTGATGCTGGGAAAGATTGAAGGCAAAAGGAGAAGGGTGTGGCAAAGGATAAGATGGTTAGATAGCATCATCAACTCATTGAACAGGATTTTGAGAAAATTCTGGGAGATACTGATAGTGAAAGTTGCTCAGTCACGTCCAACTCGTTGAGACCTTATGGACTATACAGTCCATGGAATTCTCCAGAATACTGGCGATTTGCCTGCAATGCGAGAGACCTGGGTTCAATTTCTTGGTTGGAAAGATCCTCTGGAGAAGGGAAAGGCTACCCACTGCAGTATTCTGGCCTAGAGAATTCCATTGACTGTACAGTCCATGCTGTTGCAAAGAGTTGGACTCCACTGAGCGACTTTCACCTTCACTTTCTGGGAGATAGTGGAGGACAGAGAAGCCTGGCGTGCTGCAGTCCATAGTGTCACCAAGAGTTGGATGTGAGTTAGAGACTGAACAACAGTGCTGGCCTCATAAAATGAGTTTGAAAAGTGTTCCCATTTTTTTTTTTTGTTTGTTTGTTTTTTGGAAAAGGTTGTAAAGGATTGATATTAATTCTTTGAATATTTGGTTGAATTTACCAGTGAAGCTGTCTGGTTCTGGACTTGTTTGTTGGGATAATTTTGAACACTAATTCAGTCTACTTGTTGTTTCTTCAAATGTTAGTACTGAGTTTTAAAACTTCTTTTTATGTTCTATATAAAGATGCAGTTTGTTTGTCAAATACCTTCCTTACAAGTATTTTCTCCAGCTCATAGCTCCAATTTCAATTTTTAACTGTAACTGCTTATAAAGAGCAGATATTTGTATCATGATGGAAGTCCAGTTTATTGAATTTTTTCTTTTATGTATTGTGATTTTGGTGTCATATTTAAGAAGTATTCGCCTAACCCAGTCACAGAAATATTCTCATATGTTTTCTTCTAAAAGTTGTTATTTTGGGTTCACACCTAAGTCTACAACATTTTTGTTAAGTGTAAGATATGAATAAAAATTTATTTTTTATTAAAAAAAAAAAAGAACAGAAAGAAACATAAGACTGAAAAGACTAGCAGATCTTCTCAGGGTGCTGTGTTTCAGTATTTACTGCCCTTGCTGGGTTTGTGCTTTCTTGTATTTCTGGGGACTTCCCTCACTTCTTAGTTCATCTGTGCATTTAAAGATACTTTTGAATTAACAGTTATCATGCCTCAGATAAACTTCATTGATTATGATACTGCCTCTGTGCAAAGCCTAAGATTCTTAGGAAGATATATTTTAACAGTCATTTTGTAGATGGCTTCTCAGGATTTATAGCAATTCTACATTGCTGAGACCAATTTTCAAGATTTGAAATAAAAAATGTATTTTGTTTCTCTTCTTTATTAAAAAAAAAAAAAGGAATGCTGATTGTCACTGTAGGAGTATCTGTTCTCTCTTTCCATTGCAGAAGTATAACATTTCTACCTTCTGTTTTAAAAAATACTTTTCTGACTCGGGGAATATGGATGAAGCGTAAAGGGAATTCTTTGTACTATTTTTTAACTTTTCTGTAATTCTAAAATTTTCTAAAGAAATTTAAAAGACCTTTTTGCAGTTTTAACTTTAGAAACCTAATTACTATTTTTAATTCTGAGTTTTAAGCAACTAAGCTAGAAACTTTTAGAATGTAGTCCATTTACAAATGAAGACTACCTGTAGTGTATTTGATTCCTCATTTCAATTCACTGTAATTGCTTTTTTCTTCTTCTAACTTTTAAAATATTTTCTGTCTTTTACATTTTGTGTTGGCATTTTGCATGGAGAAGGAAATGGCAACCTACTCTCGCCTGCAAAATTCCATGGATGGACAGAGGAGCGTGGTAGGCTACAGACCATGGGGTCGCAAATAGTTGGACATGACTGAGTGACTTCCCTTTCTAGCTATTTTATTTTGGTCTGCATTCCAAGAATGAACTCTGTACTTAGGTAAAGTGTATCTTTAAAGGGACTTGAACTAGACAGTATCAAACCCAAATAAAATATGAGAAAGGCTATTTGATAACCATCTAGCAGTTTAGATCAGGCATGACAGATAAATACCTACTACATTCTGTTCTTTAATCCAGTGCAGATGTTGCTCAATGATCACAGCATGCTTTTCTTCCTTGAAGTTTTCTCCACATTGGGTTTTATTAATAGCTGTCTGAAAGTGAAAGTTGCTCAGTCGTGTCCAACTCTGTGACCCCATGGACTATAGAGTCCATGGAATTCTCCAGGCCAGAATACTGGAGTGGATAGCCTTTCCCTTCTCCAGGGGATCTTCCCTACCCAGGGATCGAACCCAGGTCTCCTGCATTGCAGGCAGATTGTTTACCAGCTGAGCCACAAGGGAAACCCATGAATCCTGGAGTGGGTAGCCTATCCCTTCTTCAGCAGATCTTCCTGACCCAGGAATTGAACCAGGGTCTTCTGCTTTGCAGGCAGATTCTTTGCCAACTGAGCTATCTGGGAAGCCAATAAAGTGAAAGTTGCTTAGTCGTGTCCAACTCTGCGACCCCATGGACTATATAGTCCATGGAATTCTCCAGGCCCGAATACTGAAGTGGATAGCCTTTCCCTTCTCCAGGGGATCTTCCCAACCCAGGGATCAAACCCGGGTCTCCCATGTTGCAGGCAGATTCTTTACCAGCTGAGCCACCAGGGAAGCCCAATAGCTGTCTACTGTCAGTTGATTAGAGGTGGCACGAATGACAAAGTGTCTATTTTACATCTCTGATTTAGAGAATCATTTTTGTGAGAAACATCTGGAATACCTATACTTTTAATTACTGAACTATTCCGTCTGTTATAAAGTAACATACTCATAATTTTGGAAGCCTGATTACTTAAGAGTCACCTTAATCTTGTCACTTAAGTCTTCACTTATTTATGAAGCCAGTTGATCTGCTATGTTTATAGAGTATTCTCTAAGTATAATGTATTTTTAAAAATCTGTACACTTGTATATCACATCTTTGACCTTTAATTGGGTGACATTTTTCATAATGTTCTTTACTTTTCTTATATTTTCCTTCCATTTTTAAGGAGTGGACCTACCCTATGAGACGAGAGATGCAGGTATGACAACCTACTTATTTATTCCAGCCAACCTGTATTACTGTTACTGTCATTATTAAATAATTTAACCTAATTTCACAAAGGATTTGAGTCCCTTTGACTCATGATCTATAGGTTCATCACTGAGTATTTGAAATATTAACATATTAAAAGTTAATTGTGGCTTTTAAAAAGATGGGAGATGAAATTTCTTAGAATCATTGACATAGTTACATATGTATGTGCTTAATGAGTCACTTTGTTTTTCTTCATGTGATAAATTGGGCACAGTATTTGTATTATTTCTGAAAGCAGTTTGCCTTCTGTGTTTATGTAGTTTAGATAAACTCTAGAGAGTAGACTATAAAGCAGACTGTAAACCCTTTTGACTTAATTGTTCACATTTGTGTCTGATTTCCAGTCAACTTCAGTTAATTTAGTGAAGTTCTGCAGAAGATTGAGTTGAATACTCACACTGTGTGGAGGAGGAAATGGCAACCCACTCTAGTATTCTTGCCTGGAGAATCCCATGGACAAGGGAGCCTGGCAGGCTGCAGTCCATGGGGTCACAAAGAGTCAGACATGACTTAGCAGTTATACAGATACAGAAACAAACTAGTGGTTACCAAAGGAGAGGCACGAGTGTGGTGGGACAAATTAGGCGTATGGGATTAAGAGATTAAAAACTCCTATGTATAAAAAGCAACAAGTTTATATTGTATCAGATAAAGAATTATAGCCATTACTATATAATAACACTTAATGGAGTATAGTCTGTAAAAATATTGAATCATTGTGCTATACACCTGAAACTAGTATAATATTGTAAATCTACTATACTGCAATTAAAAACTTTAAAATAAATAAAAAATAAGCAGGTGAATTTTCCACAGGGAATTGATAAGGACTATTTTCTGGATGGTACAAACCAACAGACATTCAATAAAGGGAATTCATGGGGGAAAAACTACAGTATGGAATGAATGAATTAGTGATAGCTTGACATTGTACAGGAGGCAGTGATCAAGACCATCCCTAAGAAAAAGAAATGCAAAAAGGCAAAATGGTTGTCTCAGGAGGCCTTACAAATAGCTGAGAAACGAAGAGAAACTAAAGGCAAAGGAGAAAAGGAAAGATATACCCATTTAAATGCAGAGTTCCAAAGAATAGTAAGGGGAGATAGAAAAAGCCTTCCGCAGTGATCAGTGCAAAGAAATAGAGGAAAACAATAGAATGGGAAAGACTAAAGATCTCTTCAAGAAAATAAGAGATACCAAGGGAACGTTTCATGCAAAGATGAGCACAGTAAAGGACAGAAATGGTATGGACCTAACAGAAGCAGAAGATATTAAGAAGAGGTGGCAAGAATACACAGAACTATACAAAAAAGATCTTCATGACCCAGATAACCACGATGGTGTTGATCACTCAACCTAGAGCCAGACATCCTGAAGTCCAAAGTCAAGTGAGTCTTAGGAAGTATCACTATAAACGAAGCTAGTGGAGTTGATGGAATTCCTGCTGAGCTATTTCAAATCCTAAAAGATGATGCCGTGAAAGTGCTGCAGTCAATATGTCAGCAAATTTGGAAAACTCAGCAGTGGCCACAGGACTGGAAACAGCTTTCATTCCAATCCCAAAGAAGGGCAATGCCAAATAATGTTCAAACTACCACACAACTGCACTCATCTCACACGCTAGCAAAGTAATGCTCAAAATTCACCAAGCCAGGCTTCAACAGTATGTGAACCGTGAGCTTCCAGATGTTCAAGCTGGATTTAGAAAAGGCAGAAGAACTAGAGATCAAATTGTCAACACCCACTGGATCATTGAAAAAGCATGAGAGTTCCAGAAAGACATTTACTTCTGCTTTATTGACTATGCCAAAGCCTTTGACTGTGTGGATCACAAGAAACTGTGGAAAATTCTTAAAGAGATAGATAAACCAGACCACCTTACCTGCCTCCTGAGAAATCTGTATGGCAGTCAAGTAGCAACAGTTAGAACTGGACATAAAACAACAGACTGGTTCCAAATCAGGAAAGGAGTACGTCAAGGCAGTATATTGTCACCCTGCTTATTTAACTTATATGCAGAGTGCATCATACAAAATGCTGGGCTCAATGAAGCACAAGCTGGAATCAAGATTGCCGGGAGAATTATCAATAACCTCAGATATGCAGATGATACCACCCTTATGGCAGAAAGTGAAGAAGAACTAAAGAGCCTCTTGATGAAAGTGAAAGAGGAGAGTGAAAAATTGGCTTAAAGCCCAACATTCAGAAAAAAAAGATCATGGCATCTGGTCCTGTGGCACATAGATAGGGAAACATTGAAAATAGTGACAGACTTTATTTTCTTGGGCTCCAAAATCACTGCAGATGGTGACTGCCACTATGAAATTAAAAGACGCTTGCTCCTTGGAAGAGAAGCTATGACCAACCTAGACAGCATATTAAAAAGCAGAGACGTTACTTTGCCAACAGAGGTCTGTCCAGTCAAAGCTATGGCTTTTCCAGTAGTCATGTATGGACATGAGAGTTGGACTATAAAGAAAGCTGAGTGCTAAAGAATTAATGCTTTTGAACTGTGATGTTGGAGAATACTGTTGAGAGTCCCCTGGACTGCAAGGAGATCCAACCAGTCCATCCTGAAGGAAAGCAGTCCTGAATATTCATTGGAAGGACTGATGCCGAAGCTGAAACTCCAATCCTTTGGTCACCTAATGCGAAGAAGTGACTCATTGGAAAAGACCCTGGTGTTGGGAACAATTGAAGGTGGGAGGAGAAGGGGACGACAGAGGATGAGATGGTTGGATGGCTTCACCGACTCGATGGACATGAGTGTGAGTTAGCTCCGGGAGTCAGTGATGGACAGGGAAGCCTGGCATGCTGCAGTTCATGGGGTCGCAAAGAGTCGGACACGACTGAGCAGCTGAACTGAACCTACATAGCAGCACTTTTTTGTGTCGTATTCACATCTGCCATTCCCAAGGTCAAGCAGTGTCTCTCCTACTCAGGAATTCCTTGACCTCTAAAAAACCTGTTTCTCTTACTGAAAATTCACTTATTAAAAATATGTGATTACCCGTGAGGTATTTTACTTGCTGCTATGAGGAATGGAAATATGAGTAAAATTTAGTTTCTGCATACAAGAAGCTATTAAATCTATACATAAATAATTTTGATATCCCATAGAATTGAAGTACAAAATTGTATTAGTATATAGGGTATGATATATTCCTACTGAAGAGTTTCTATATTGAATTCTCATAGAATAAATTTTAATTCACCATTCAGAAGTTATTTATTTATAATTTATTTGTTTATAAAGTTATTTAGTTATAAATTGCAGAAACTATGTCTGTAGTCTTTTTTTGAAACTTTGCAGTAATACTTTACATAGGTAACAGTTGTAATCTTATTTTATCTTGTGCTACTTTTGATATGATTGAATAAGATTTTGTGTAATTCCAAAGGGATGATTTTTTTAATACCTGTTTTATTTCTAGACTGTAGCAGAGAATAGAAGTAAAATTAGAGGTGTTTTAGTAATCGAAAAGACAACAATACAAAATACTAATTCCCAGACTGCTTATAAAAAAGCACTATGGAAGTTCAAATACCTAACTTTTCAGAACTAATTTAAATTTTAAATGTGTCATCCTGTTTTATAAAGCACATCTGCATTTCTCTTCACAGTCATTTGCTCAGTGTTGCTAGAAAATTCTCCCTAAATAATAAACTTTTTAGCAAATTACTATACATGGTACATGTTTTGTATAGATTTAAACTGCTGGTGGTAAATAGCTCAATATTTTTTTCTAGGAAATTCTGCCTGGTTTGTTTTTAGGCCCATATTCTTCTGCCATGAAAAGCAAGGTAAGAACTTTAAATTAGATTCATCAGTAGACTTTATTAACCAACTACATGGGGTAAGTTTTTTTAGTAGAAAGAGTTTTGTTTGAGGAAGTGTCCACTGATTTTGCATATTAGCAGTAATTGTGACTCTGGAGTACCTACTTCTCTTCAGATTTTATTGGACCAGTGATTCTCAAGGGTTTAACCACAAATCACAAGTGAGGTTTTGTATTTTTTTTTCTCATGAAATCCATGTTTTTAAAATACTTCAAAAAAACTGACCTTTAATAATTTATTTACCTTCCAAGATACCTGGAATTGCTAATGTGGATATTGGATATCTGTAATTGCTAATCATAGTTTCTGAGAAACATGAGATGTAATTAAATCCCCCAATAAGATTATTTAACATATTAGTTAAAGGATAAAATAGAGTGTGCGTACATGAGTGTGTACAAATACACTCATAGAACCCACATATTTTAATTGAAGTGACTCAAATTTTATTTCTGTTTTCCCAGACTATGGAGATCTAGAACCTCCAGGTTGTAAAGTATTGTATTATATATTTAGGTGTCCTATATATTTACACTGAAATGTATTTCTTCAGTTACACAATTGAAAGGGTAGATCTCATTCAGATGTATGTATTAATAGCAGTGTTGTTGCCAATTCCAAGAGGATTCAGCCCTATGAATTATGGCAATGCTAATTCTCTTTGAATTATAATATAAAACATTATATGACAGATGTTTTCCCTAATACCCTGCCTATTTAGAAGTCAGTTTGATATCTGTATAGGTTTTTAAAAAAACTTTAGAATTAAAAACTTTTTTGAAATAATTTGATATATTTATCAATTTTAGGTGATGGGTAGTTTTTTTTTTTAAGTTTATGTCATTCATTTTGGAACTGGAAAGCTTTTTGACTGTTGAGGCATATCTAAGAGTAATAGTAGTCATTTGATGGCCTGCAACTAAGTTGGGAAGGTGGGATGTTGATAAAAATTTATGTTTAAAGAAGTACTAAGAAAAGGATATGGTAGATATCTGTAGATTTAATTGTGACTTACTTTGTAAAAGCAAATTTATTGCCCAAATAAGGTAGTATTCACAAATACTGGGGTTCAGAATGATTTTAGACTATTTGCTTTTGGTGTTCTCACTGTGCTTTATAAATATATGTATTATACTCTTTGTCATATTAATTTGTAAGTATTTGTTTACAGATATATTGTCTGAAAACCTCTTCCCCCTAACTTCACTGTGGTCTCATTAGATTGAAGAAAAGTTTCTATGGCAAAATTTGATTATTTCCCACCATAAATCATTATAGTTCAGCCCATATTTCTTCTCATATCATCTAAAACAGTAATAGCAGAAGAATAATAGAAATAAACCTTAAGGAATAAGCTCCTAATAAACTCAATTAGTTTAGCCTTTGATTAGATTCAAATACAGTTTTAATAAAAGGGACATATTTAGGGTCTTTGTAGGTAGTGAACTATTTCTTTTTATAAAATTTTTCTGTTTGCAGGTATGAGATAAGATTATAGTTTGCTTTGTATAAATGAAAGTCTGTTGAAAACCAAAGAAAAAAAAAGTTTTGTGTGCTATTATATTTGGGTTCTGTCTTAAGGTTTGTTTTTACTTAGTAATCTAATGTGCCTTCTAAGCTTGTTAAAACAAACAGGTTTTATCCCTGATTATATGTGTCTTCTTGTAGTTTCTCATATTAATAGAGTAGATATGAAAAATTCACATATGTGATAGACAAAGGAATGAATATTGAATTCACTTTGGAGGTTCTATAAATGTGAATATAGAACATTGATTTATTATTAATCCTACCAAATTCTTAACCTCCTTTCCCTTGTCTCAGGATGTACTCAGGAAATACAAAGATAACTGAGCTGTAATCTATGCCAGACATAGGAAACTTTGCTGCAAAAATTGACATTTAGAAACCACATTTTCTTGTCTTAGGCTGCTATAATAAAATACCATCGACTGGATGGTCTCAGCAACAGACATTTATTTCTCATGGTTCTGGGGGCTGGTAAGTTTGAGATGAGGGCGCCATCATAGTTAAGGTTTGGTGAGGGCCCTCTTCATGGTTTGCTGCCTTCTTGAGGTAGTCTCACATGGCAGAGGGATGAAGCTCTGATGCCTATTCCTCTTATAAGAGCACTAATTCCATCATGGGTGCTCCACCTCATGGCCTCATTTATATCTAATTACCTACCAGAGGCCCCACTAACTAATATCATTACCTTGGAGGTTAGAGCTTCAACATAGGAATTTTAGGGAGACACAAGCATTCGATCTGTAGCAAGTAGAAATTAATCTTTAACTTTTTTCATGAATTATTAGTATTGCTGTTCTATTAATACAGAAAGGGAATGAAATAGATAGGATTATAAACTGAAAATAGAAAATGCAGGCTTATTAAGAATTCTGATTGTTCATTATTTGTTCATTCATTTCTTGAACATGTAATTATTGAACAACAACTATGTTCCAGGCACTGCTTTACACATAATTACCGTGAATCAGTGAACAAAGTCCTTATTCTCATGGCATATATATTCTAACTATTTAAATAACATGTTGTCTGTAAATTTCACTGAAACCTATAGTCACTTGCAAATAAAAACTTACAATTTTTAGAATTATTATGTTAAATTGCTTTAAATATAGAGCCACAAAGCACCACAGAATACTTTGGAGTTGCCAGTTTTAACTTTAGGAGAATTTTTAAACCCTAGAAGTTAGTTTTTGTGAATTGTATAAATTAATTCTAGCTTAAAATAGAAAAACTGTACTGGGAGACGCAGAGAGTAGTCTCGAGATTTGGGCTCCAGCACTGCTGTTAACTAGGTCGGAGATGCTGAACAACTGCTTTAATGTTAGAGTAGTTCTCTCTAATAAATAAGAATTGTAGCCAATATATATAACTGTCATTTATTAAAAGTACTTGCTATGTGTCCCAGCCACTATGCCAAAGATTATCTTATAGAATTCTCACATCTATTCAGTGAATAGGTAGTGTTTTCCTAGTTTTCACGTGAGAAAATTGAGCCACAGTGCTCAGGTCATTAGCAGAGCTGGGATCTAGAGCTTGGGCTCCATGGCTCATGACTCTGTATGTAGCCCATGCCTTTAACCACTATATAGTATTAAAAGTAAATAATAAAGAGTATATAAATGTAAATTATAAATAAATATAAAGTATGTTATATATAATACAGAGGTCAAAGGGTTAATAAATATAATGAAGGTATAATATTGTTTCCCAAATAAATTATCTTTAAGGTTATGTCAAGCTCTAAAATTATCAATATAAAATAATTCTATAAGCCTTTTGAGGACATGTAGTGTGTTTATCTTGACTCATTGAAAGATTTTGCTGATGACTTCAGGCATGTTATTATGAAATTAGCTTTGATTCCCTGTATTTAAAGCTCAGATGTGGCTATATTTACTATAAAGTTGAGTCCTGTGTATTTTCAAATCTCTATTACAGTAAGATGATGTTTTGTATTTTATAACTATTTCTTTTTTTTAATAGCTACCTATACTACAGAAACATGGAATAACTCATGTAATATGTATACGACAAAATATTGAAGCAAACTTTATTAAACCCAACTTTCAACAATTATTTAGGTAAGAATTGTTGATGTAATATATAAAAATGTTATGGGTATCAAACATGTAATGTTTCTATTTTAAGTTGATTTTATTATATTGGACTTCTGTGTGTGTATATATATATATATGTTTTATAAAGATGGGTTATACAGTACATCATTTGAAGAATAAACTTCCCTTAAAATATTTTAAATAAGTAATTTATGCACATAATGTGGAATTCTAAATGTTCAAAAGAATGTATACTGAAAAGTAGTTTCCCTATTCCTGTCCCATAAATACTCAATTCCCCTCACTAAAAGTATCCATTGTTACTTCTTTTTGAGTACCTTTCTGGAATTATGTTACATATATATATATACACAGATCAATTTAGGCTTTTTTAAAAAAATGTATTTTGGAGATTGCTTCATATTATTACTTAGCTACATTCTTTTTTTTTTTTTTTTTCTTCATTGCATCTTCTGGCTGGTAGAACCTCAGTTCCCTGACCAACTGGGCCACATCAGTGACAGCCTGGAATACTAACCACTAGACCACCAGAGAACTCCTGTGTTATTCTTTTTAAGTAGACAGTAATCTACTATATTACTCTACTAAAATCTATTCAAACTGTCTCCTATTGTTAGACATTTAGATTGTTTCCAGACTTTTGATAATGTAGTGACTATCCCTCTATGTCATTTAATTCATATGTGATTATAGCAGTAGGATATATTTGTAGTAGAATGGCTGGATTAAAGAGTGTGAGCATTTAAATTTAGTAGATGTTACAAATTGCCCTCCAGTGAGTTGTATCAGTTTGCATTCCCAGTGCAACTCTCTCAGACAAAATTATAAAATATTTTTTATTTTTTCCAATCTTGTTCATTTGCTAGTTCATGTCTGACTTTTTGCAGTCAATGGACTGCAGCACACCAGACTCCTCTGTCCTCCACTATCTACTGGAGTTTGCACAAATTCATGTCCATCAAGTCAGTGGTTCTCTCTTAACTGTCTAATCCTCTGCTGCCCCCTTGTCCCTTTGCCTTCAGTCTTGCCCAGCATCAGGGTCTTTTCCAGTGAGTCAGCTCTTCGTATCAAGTAGCCAAAGTATTGGAGCTACAGCTTCAGCATCAGTCCTTCCAATGAATATTCAGGATTGAGTTTTTTTAGGATTGACTGGTTTGATCTCCTTGCAGTCCAAGGGACTCTTAAGAGTCTTCTCCAGCACTGCAATTAGAAAGCATCAGTTCTTCAGCTAAGCCTTCTTTATGATTGAACTCTCATATACGTACATGACCACTGGAAAAACCATAGCTTTCTCTATAGGGACCTTTGCCAGCAAAGTGATGGTTTTGCTTTTTAATATGCTCTCTAGGTTTGTTGTATCTCTTCTTCCAAAGAGTATAGTGTCTTTTAATTTCATGGCTGTGGTCACCACACCATGCAGTGATTTTGGACTCCAAGAAAATAAAATCTGTCACCGCTTTCACTTTTTCCCCTTGTATTTGCCATGAAATGATGGGACTGGATGCCATGATCTTAGTTTTTTGAATGTTGAGTTTTAAGCCAACTTTTTCACTCTCCTCTTTCTCCCTTATTAAGAGGCCCTTTAGTTCTTCTTCATTTCCTGCCATTAGAGTGGTATCATCTGCATATCTGAGATTGTTGATATTTGTCTTGGCAATCTTGATTCCAGCTTGTTATTCATCCAGCCTCACATTTCACGTGATGTAGTCTCCATATAAGTTAAATAATCAGGGTGACAATATACAGCCGTATCTCCTTTTCCAGTTTTGAACCAATCAGTTTTTCCATTTCCAGTTCAAACTATTGCTTCTTGTCCTGCATATAGGTTTCTCAGGAGGCAGGTAAGGTGGTCTTGTATTTCCATCTCTTCAAGAATTTTCCACAGTTTGCTGCGATCCACATAGTCAAGGTTTAAAGAAGTAGCAATAGATGTTTTTCTGGAACTCCCTTGCTTTCTCCATGATCCAGTAAATGTTGTCAATTTGATCTCCAGTTCTGTCTTTTCTGAATCCAGCTTGTACATCTGGAAGTTCTCAGTTCACATACTGTTGAAGCCTAGCGTGAAGGATTTTGAGCATAACCTTACTAGCATGTGAAATGAGCACAATTGTATGGTAGTTTGAACATTCTTTGGCATTGCCCTTCTTTGAAATTGGAATGAAAACTGACCTTTTCTAGTCCTGTGACCACTGCTGAGTTTTCCAAATTTGCTGACATTTAGTGCAACACTTTAACAGCATCATCTCTGAGGGTTTTAAATAGCTCACCTGGAATTCCATCACCGCTACTAGCTTTGGGCTTCTCAGGTGACTCTAGTGGTAAAGAACCTGCCTCCAAAAGCAAGAGATGTAAGAGATGCAGGTTTGATCCCTGGGTCGGGAAGATCCTCTGGAGGAAAGAATGGCAACCCACTCCGGTATTCTTGCCTGGAGAATTCCATGGATAGAGGAGCCTGGCAGGCTGCAGTCCATGGGGTCTCAGAGAGTTGGAACACAGTTAAGCAACTAACACACACTACTAGCTTTGTTCTTAGTAATGCTTCCTTAGGCCCAGTTTACTTCACACTCCAGGATATCCTGCTCTAGGTGAGTGACCACACCATTGTAGATATCCAGGTTAAGACCTTATTTGTATAGTTCTTCTGTGTATTCTTGCCACCTCTTCTTAATCTCTTCCACTTTGGTTTGGTCCTTACAGTTCCTGTCCTTTATCGTGCCCATTGTTGTGTGAAATGTTGCCTTGATATCTCTAGTTTTCTTGAAGAGATCTCTAGTCTTTCCCATTCTGTTGTTTCCTCTGTTTCTTTGCATTGTTCATTGAAGAAGTCCTTATCTCTCCTTGCTATTCTCTGAAATTCTGCACTCAGTTGGATATACCTTTCTTCCTTGCCTTTCACTTCTCTTCTTTCCTCAGCTATTTGAAAAGCCTCCTCAGACAACCACTTTTCCTTCTTGCATTTCTTTTTCTTTGAGATGGTCTTGGTTACTGCCTCTTGTACCATGTTATGAACCTCCGTCCATAGTTCTTCAGGCACTCTGTCCACCAGATCTAATCCCTTGAATCTATTTGTTACCTCACTGTATAATCATAAGGGAATTGATTTAGGTCATAACTGAATGGCCTAATGGTTTTCCCCACTTTCTTCAATTTAAGCCTGAATTTTGCAATAAGGAGCTCATGATCTGAGCCACAGTCAGTTCAGGTCTTGTTTTTGCTGACTGTGTAGACCTTCTCCGTCTTTAGCTACAAAGAACATAGTTATGATTTTGGTGTTGACTCTCTGGTGATGTCCGTGTGTAGAGTCATCTTTTGGGTTATTGGAAAAGGGTGTTTATTATGACCAGTGTGTTCTCTTGGCAAAACTCTTTTTGCCTTTGCCATGCTTCACTTTGTACTCCAAGGCCAAACTTGCCAGTTATTCTGGGTATCTCTTGATTTCCTGCTTTTGTATTCCAATCCCTTATGATGAAAAGGACATTGTTTTTTGGTGTTAGTTTTAGGAAGGTTGTAGGTCTTCTTAGAGCTGGTTATCTTCAGCTTATTCAATATCTGGTTGGTGCATCGATTTCGATTACTGATGTTGAATGACTTGCCTTGGGAATGAAGCAGGATCATTGTCATTTTTGAGGTTGCACCCAGGTACTGCAGTTTGGACTTTTTTTTTTTTTTTTTCACTCTGAGGGCTACTTCATTACTTCTAAGGAATTCTTGCCCATAGTAGTTGTTATAATGGTCATCTGAATTAAATTCACCCATTCTAGTCCATTTTAGTTCACTGATTCCTAAGATGTCAATGTTCAATTTTGGCATCTCCTGCTTGACTGTGTCCAGTTTACCTTGATTCATGGACCTAATACTCCAGGTTCCTATGCTGTATTGTTCTTTATGGCATTGGACTTTACTTTCACTACCAGACACAGCCACAACTGAGTGTCATTTCCACTTTGGCCCAGCCACTTTATTCTTTCTGGAGCAATTAGTAATTGCCCTCTGCTCTTCCCCAGTAACATATTGGACACCTTCCAACCTGGAGGCTCGTCTTCCGGTGTCATATCTTTTTGTCTTTTCATACTGTCCGTGGGGTTCTGCTGACAGAAATACTGGAGTGGTTTGCCTTTTCCTTCTCCAGTGGACCACATTTTATCAGAACTCTTCACTGTGACCCGTCTGTCTTGGTTAGCCCTGCATGGCCTCGCTGGTAGCTTCATTGCCTTATCGCAAGCCCCTTCACCACCTGATCTGGAGTAAATTGCCCTTCAGCTTTGTGATCTCCTTCAGTAAAAACTGTGTTGTTTAGTTTTAGTTTGCCTTTCACATTTATCTTAAAATGATGAGGTTGAGCATCTGATGGTTTTTAATGTTCTTTATTTTGGTTTCACTTAAAAAATAAAGCATATATTACACATGATACAAAGACCAAAGGGTCAAAAAGGTATGAGAGGAAAAGTTTTCTTTACTTCCCTAAACCCAGCTACCTAATTTATCCCTAGCTAGGAGGCAGGTACTGTTATGTCTTCTTTGGATATCATTCTAGAAATATTTTTATAAAACCATATATTTTAAAAATCTTTTAATGTTCTGCTTTATTTTTGTAAAAATGAAAGGAACCTAAATTCCCTCAGTGTAAGATACTCAAATATATTTTGTGAATACATAATAAACTATGTAGTCATGAAAAAGAATGAAATATTTGTGTATGTGCTGATATAGACTAATCTTTATGATTTATTGCATGAAGAAAACAAGGTGCAGAGCCACATGTGTACTCTCAAAGTGTTTAAGAGTGTGTGCAGTACATTAGGCTTTATTATAGATGTATAGGAAATTTCTGGACTGACAGAGTAGAAACTTGACTGTGGTTACTTCTGGGAAGGGAAATTTAGGGTCTGGGATGGTAATGAAACCTAGTTTTCATTGCAGATATCTTTATACTGTTAGAATTTTTTACTGTGCATACACATTTTTCAGTTAAAATTAGTTTTAAAAAGGGAATGCATGTAATCTAAAGTGAAATAGATTGAATTTTTTCTAATTCCAAAAGATACACTTGTTCTTTATACGTATTTATGAAAATACAGAATGACACCAAGAAAAATCTTTAAAAAGCCATCCATAATTCCACAACCCAGAGGAGCGTGACTTTTTTTTGTTAAATTTCCTTCTAAATTTTTTTATTATGTATGTGTTTCATGTATACGCAGGCTTCCCAGGTGGCACTAGTGGTAAAGAACCTGCCTGCTAATGCAGGAGACATAGGAGACACAGGTTCAATCCCTGGGTCAGGAAGGTCCCCTGGAGGAGTGCATGGCAACCCACTCTAGTATCCTTGCCTGGGGAGTCCCCATGGATAGAGGAGCCTGGTGGGCTACAGTGCATAGGGTGGCAAAGAGTTGGACACGACTGAAGCAACTTACAGTGCACACTTGCATGCACATCATGTGTACACACATTTAGACTTGTATATATTAAAGAAAATGACAATGTTATATTTTAAAATGCTATACTATTCCTTTCTAATTTTTGTTTTTAGTGCCAAAATGTCCTGGGTATAGCTTCTCAGTGATAAGTCATGAATTTACTGAAGTTGCTACCACCAAAATAATAAAGCAATATTGACTTTACATTTTAATTTCATAACTCAGTTACTTAACTGAGTTGTGTTAATAAACGGATGGTCTTGGATGGATTAGAAATGAAAGTTTCTTTGTTTTTTGGTTGGGGGTGGTGTGGCGGGGGCGGTTGTTGAGGCTGTATGACAAGGCTTGCAGGATCTTGGTTCCCCAACCAGGGATAGAACCCTGTCCCTGACAGTGAAAGCACCGAGTCCTAACCACTGAACTGCCAGCAGGTTTCCAGAAATGGCAGTTTTTCACAAAATAAAGTAAGGCTTGTATATTGAAATGACTTATTTTAAATGTTTTTCAAGGTGTAAAATTTGAGGACAGGTGTTCTTTAGGTTGCTTATTGCTCTGTTGTAGGTTAGTTCAAACAATGAATGTTTGACTCACGGCTCTGTCAGACTGCTGCATTCTATTTCCGTTAGTTCTTTCTCTCTCAGGCTTTGGTCTGTCTCTGAATTGTCCTCTGTAGGGTTGTGAGGAAGGGTGGCAGGACTATCCAAAGAAAACTCTTCTAGTCGTATGGAAGTTGCTAGAGATAGAAGAATAACGAAAAGGAGAAAATAGGCAATTTTTGTCTTTATTGTCTAGGTCTAATCTGATCTAGAGGGAAATTTCTTCCCGTTTATGATTTTTCTATTTTAAGAAGATAGATTTTTTTTTTTATACGTAAGATATCAGAGAAGTGTTAATGTGTTAACTTATTTAAGGCTTTACATGCTGTGCCTTCAAGCATTATAAAATCTATGGCTTGGTCCTTGGGAATATATTTTGAAAGTTATTTTCATGGTTGTCAAGAAATTTTTGTAATTTTTTATATATGAAGAGTTTTATCTGAAAGTGTGCTTAATCACACAATATTCTATTTTCAGATATTTAGTCTTGGATATTGCAGATAATCCAGTTGAAAATATAATACGTTTTTTCCCCATGGTAAGGTAACAGTATTTTAATATCATTTAATATTTATGATTTGCTTTCTTAATTGTGCTTTTAAAACTTAATGAAACGTGATTTTCTCCTATACTGCTATTACATGTAATGTCTGAAAATTGTGGGATTGTATTTTAAAGAAAATTGACTATTTTTAAAATCTTTTTTATGATCTCCAAATATTTGAGAAATTGTATTTCAAATTTCTTGAATTCAGAATAATATTTATACTTACAATACTTGTATTTGTAGCATTTTGGAAATTTTTGATGTAAGGTACTTTTCATTCATATAAATTAGCAGGAAAATATTTTCAGTATATTTTGTTTCACTGTGTATATATGTTTGTATTTTATGCTTATGTAACTCCATATATTTTATTATAACACACTCTTTTTCCTTCAGACAAAAGAATTTATTGATGAGAGCTTACAAAGTGGAGGTAAATAATTTTTATTTCATTTAACTTATGTTTATTTTTAGGATATTATTCCTTATAGTTAGTTTTTAGTTAATATTTGTCTTAAATGAAGAATATGAAAATTATAATTATGTATAAAGACTTTCCAAATTTCCCAAAACTTCTTATTTCATTTGGATAGACTTTCTTAAATATCTTATAGAACTATTTTCATATTGAGTCAGCTTTAAATCTTTTTAACCTAAAAGTCTATTGTAGTCACCACACAGTTAATATAAATAAATTCAAGGATTTGAAAATTAGTAAGTATCCAAGTTGTATATACAGAATACATAAAGTGCTTAAGATTTATTTTACTGTGATATGATACATGGTTTCAATATATTTTAGCTATTGCATCAGGTATCTTTCTATCAGAATAACTCTCTTGTTTTTCAGGAAAAGTTCTTGTCCATGGGAATGCAGGGATCTCCAGGAGGTATGATGTTAGCAATAATCTTTCTTTCTCCAGCATTTAATTAATGAGTATATTTTCTGTTTTTTTTCTAAAATATTTTCCTCCTCTTTAGTGCTGCCTTTGTTATTGCATACATTATGGAAACATTTGGAATGAAGTACAGGTAAGAAAGTATTCTGAAACCTAGCCACAATTTAAATTCTCATTAAAATGAAGCTCAATGGAGACAATTTGGGAACTGGAAGTTAATAATCTTCTAAGTTTTAAAATTCTTGTTAGACAAAGATGTAATTGCTTTCTTTGTTTAAAAGGTTAATTTTTTATGTTTTCCTTTAACAGTAATTGGGTGAAAAATTGCTTAAGAATTGTTTTATTGTCTATTCACAATTCATTATTTGTTTTATGCAAAATCATCTTTTCCAAGCATATTGCATAGACGAAAGAGAGAGAGAGGCTAATGTGCTTTTCACCCTAAAACTAACAAAGCTGGCCAATGTACAGTATTTCTTTTCTTAGAGTGTCTTGTACAAGTTACAAATCTTCTGTAATCATTGATACTGTTTCACTCATGTCCCAGACTGATCCATTACCAAATTCTGTTTTATGTCCTAAAATATTCCTCGATTCTGGCTCTTTCTCATGATTGAATCTCGCTAATCAAGCTCTAGTCATGTCTCATTGTTTAATCTCCCTATTACAAGCTCTTCCAGTAGTTATCATCTTAGTGGTCTTGTGTTTTCTTTCCTTCTCTAGTCTGTTGTGTTCTTCACACCACAGTCAAAATGATTGTTTCAAAAGATAAATCATATTTCACCTTACCCTAAAAATCTCTCAGAGGTTTCTGATCCTTAATAATTCTTAATGTGGCCAGTGAAACTTCACATGACATGCCTGTATCACCCTTCCATTCTTACGCTATATACTCTGTTAACCTTGTCCATTTGAGCTATGTTCAACATTGGATCCACATGCCTGCCACATAGTGGACATTCAAATCTTTTAGTTCATTTGGTATTTTTATCTTAAAATTATAATGGAAAAGTTTGCTTAAAGGTGTTCTTAAATATTATTTGAATACAAATATTTTGTGTTTATTTAATTGAAAAGATTAATGCTTGGTAGATTTTATTTTATATTTCTTTTTTTTATTATTTGTGCCATGTCAGCAATAATAGTGAAAATAACTTCGATTTTTTGGGTCTCTGCCAGATGCCAGATACACTTCTGAGCACTTTTATCTCAACAACACAAGGAAGTCCATATGTTTCTAATTTAACCAATAATAAAATCTGAGCATGTAGTGTGTGTGACCCATGCTATACATAATATGTTATACTTACTATCTTCCATATTCACAATAGTGCTTCAAGATAGGAATTGTTATGATCCCCAATTTACACATGAAAAAATTAAAGCTTAGAGAAGCTGAAAAGTATCCTCTAGAACACACAGCTGGGAAGCAAAGGATTTTCCCACTGCAGTTCACTACCTATCTGTAGTACAAGCTGTCTGATTATGATTTTCTGTTCTAGGTAAATTGTTCGGTAAGTTCCTACTTTAGATAAATTCTGGAAAAATTGAGATTAATTCATGAAATAATATCACTACCTTAGTTTTCCTATTTTTTTGTTTTCAGAGATGCATTTGCTTATGTTCAAGAAAGAAGATTTTGTATTAATCCTAATGCTGGATTTGTCCATCAACTTCAGGTAATTTCTCTATTTTTCCACTTTAAGGCAGTCAGCTGCTGCTGCTGCTGCTAAGTCACTTCAGTCGTGTCCGACTCTGTGCGACCCCATAGACAGCAGCCCATGAGGCTCCCATATCCCTGGGATTCTCCAGGCAAGAACACTGGAGTGGGTTGCCATTTCCTTCTCCAATAAGGCAGTCAGAAAGTACAATAATTGAAAGCTTGTGTTCATATAATTTAGTTGTAATTCTTGGTAAATACTTAAAAATTACCATAATCTGACTGATTTCTTTGTTCAAGTTTAAATCTATTTAAAAGTATTTTTTTAAAGTTGCCATTGACAAGAAAAAAAGGATTAAAAGCACATTGTTAAATCTAAAGTAAAATAATTGATCTTAGACATGTCTTCCATTTTTCCTCTATTTTGATTACATACAGAGCATAAGAGAATTTTGATTCTAAGTGTGTTACGTATAGCAGCTGTTTCTATTTTATATGCTCTATCTTCTTCATGTTCTTTCACATTTTGATGATGTGTAGAAGATACACTGAAAAGAGAATAAACCTGTGAATTATCATTAATTTTTTCCAAGATGAAAAATCGTAAGTCAAAGAATGTGCTCTGGCTGATGGCATCCAGTTATGCAGGAATAAATCTCACATTGAAACATCAAGAGCACTACAAAATGTGTTATCTCAGTTACCAAACTTAATTTACTTTGTTTTTATTTTTAATTCACTTTTAGTTTTTATTTCATTTAAAAAAGAGAAAAATATTCATGATTAAAAAAATAAAAATTCAGTAATGCTTAAGAAGAATACTTGAAAAGTAAGTCTCCTTAATAGTATATCTTGAAGATTATATAAAGCTCTACCTTCATGATATTTGTGTGTGTGTGTGTATTACAATTTTATGTGACCAGTTCCTTATACATGGAGCTTTAGGTTGTTCCCACTCTTTCATAATTTTAAACAACATTGGAAAGAATGTCCTGATAGGTGTATCTTTGTTTACATGTGTGAATGTACCTGTAAGATAATTGATCAGAGTGGAATTGCTGGGTCAGAGAGCATTTGAAAGTTGATGTTGCTAAATTGCCTTTAAAAAGACTGCAGGAAACAAAGAGTACCTGCTTGCTAATACTAATCATTACCAATAGCAAAAGTGTTTTATGAAACTTTTGGATCATTGTTGTCATGGTGGTAAAAGTGGCAACTGCTTATAGTTTGCCCATTTTTCTAATAGGTTGTTGCTCTTTTTCTCACTGGTTTGTAAGGATTCTTTGTATATTAAGAAAATTTTCTGTAGCCAGTGATTTGAAGGCTTCCCTTGTGGCTCAGATAGTAAAGAATCCACCTGCAATGCGGGAGACTTGAGTTTGATCTCTGGGTTGGGAAGATCCCCTGGAGGAGGGCATGGCAACCTACTTCAGTATTCTTGCCTGGAGAATCTCCATGGACAGAGGAGCCTGGTGGGCTACAGTCCATGGGATAGCAAAGAGTTGGACATGACTGAGCAACTTAAGCACAGCACAGCCAATGATTTGAAATGCCATTTTTATTATATTCCAAATTGTAAATCCGCACTTGAGTCTGTTTCTGACTTTGTATTTTCTTCCATTGATCTGCTTATTGCTGCCTTTGTACCAAAGTTTTAAATGCTATAATATTTGCAAGTAGTCTGTATTACTTATATTAAGTAAATTAATCAAGATTTCCTCATTAATGTTCTTTCTGAAATTTTCCAGCAAATTCTTAACACATACTTTGTGGTGTGAACTTTACTGGAAAGGGTGCAGAAAGTATTGACACCTTTAAATTTTTCAAAGAGTATGTTTCTAAGAGTATGTTCCATTTATTCAAGTCAATTTCTGTGTCCTTTAGTGTTTTAAAGGTTTTTTTTGGTATAAAATATATGTATTTCTTATGAAATTTATTCCTAGCTATTTTCTTTTATTCCATTATAATTAAAATTGCTTTTTCAAATTTCTTTCTAGTATGTTTTCTAATTGCTTATTTGTTTATAGGAAAGCTGTTTATGTCTTCAATTGGCAACCTTACTAAACTCTAGGAACAATTCTAAAGAATTTTCCAGTTGATTGTTCTATATTTTCATTTGCAAATCATAATAATTTTGCCTCTTTTCTAATTTTGTTTCTTTCTCACTTGATGGTCATTGTATCAGAGCAATTTGATAAGTAATAGTGGTGTGATATTCATACTTACTTTATTCTTGATTTCAGTGTCATTGCTCTTATTACTGCACTGTGTGTGTGTTTCAGTGAGTATTTGCTTGTGCCTATTTAAAAGGTTTTTATCAGGGATACTGATTTTTAACTTAAAACATTTTTTAATGAAATGGCCCTAGTTTTCTTCCTTTAATTCATTAATATGGTGAGTTGAATCACATTATGCTGGACTTGTTAATTTTGAATCATTTTGATTCACAAATGAATCTCACTTTGTTATGGTAGACTGTATTCCATTAATGTGTTGCTAGATTCCTGTTTGTCAATTTTTTTTTTTTTTTTAAGATTTTGGAATTAGTTGAATAAGTGATACTGGTCTGTAATTTTTTTTTCTGTACTACCATCTTCCGGTTAGTGTCTGTCATGGTTTTCTCATTTTTAAAATGAAAACTTGCTTTCTCTTTATGTGCTCTAGAACAATGTAAATTAGATTGGAGTTACCTGCTTCTTTTTTTTTTTTTTTAATATTTATTTTTATTTATTTAACTTATTTAGCTGCACAGGGTCTTAGTTGCGGCACATGAAATCTTTTAGCTGTGGCATGTGGGATCTAATTCCCTGACCAGGGATCGAACCTGAGCCCCCTGCATTGAGAGCTCATAGTCTTAGCCACTGGACCAGCAGGGAAGTCCCTAGTTACCTGCTTCTTAATGTTTGATATATAGTACCTGTGAAATCACTGGACCTTGATTTTTTCAATTTAATTCAGTTATTCATTATTTCATTCATTTGTATATTTTGAGGGTGAACCAATTCTTGGACAACTTTCTTCATTTGCTTAATAGTTAAGTCTGATTTTCATAGACTATTTAGGTCACTTTGGATGGTTTCATAATCTTCTATATAATTTCATTGGATTCGAGATAAAATTGAGGAAAATAATGTCTTTTTTTTTATATCTTCTAATTTCTGTGGTTATTTTTTTCATTCTTTTTTTCGAATTTTGTATATCAGTGCTTTCTTTTTCCCCCTGATCTGGTTAGTTTATATAATTTTTCTGTATTTGAATTTCTTCTTGCTTTGTGCTTTCCTTAGGTTTTTGTTGTTTTTACTGCTGCTGCTGTTATTCTTTTGTGGATTTTCTCAGTTGCATTCTTAGTCGCTCAGTTGTCTATGACTCTTTGTGACCCCATGGACTATATCCCTCTGTTCTTGGGATTCTCCAGACAAGAATACTAGAGTGGGTAGCCATTCCCTTTTCCAGGAGATCTTCCCAACCCAGGGATCGAACTCGGGTCTCCTTTATTGTCTGAGCTATAAGAATTCAAGACAGTAAATTATCCTCTTAGCATTTCTTTAGCCATATTCTACATATCCTACATAGATTTTGCTCTGTAACATTTTTATTCTTATTATAACTTGATATTCTGTCATTTCACTTTTGATTTTATTTTTTACTTAGCATTTGAGAGTTTTTTTATAAATCACATAACTAAATTTTAAATGTTTTCTTTGTGGTGTAATAAACAGTTGTTATTATAACTATTTGAAAAGAAGATATATTCTCTGTTTTCACGGCGTAAAATTCAATCTGCAGTTATCTTTCTATATCTGTGAGGAATTGGTTCCAGGGCCACACACACCCCTCTACTCCCTTGCCATGGATTCCAAATCTTATATAAAATGGCATAGTATAGTCAGTTCTGTGTATCTGCGGGTTCTGCATTCATGGATACAGAGGGCACATTGTATTTGTCCACTTCATCTTTTGGGGGCTTGGGGGTGAACTGAAACTCCCTTTGTTCTGTCTCTGTTTATTTCTTTAATTCCTCTAGTTTCTTTGTCAATTTTAGTGCTGCATTATTTGGTAGATAAAATTCAAGTTATATCTTCATTGTAGTTATATGTTTATTGTCCAGTTATTTTACTTTGAAATTAACCTTAATATTGTGATCCTTTTTTTTTTGCATTTGCCTTGTGAGTTTCTTCATTGGTTTTCTTTCCACCTTTCTAAATCACTTTGTTTTAGATGCATTTCTTGTATGTGCCCTATGGCTGGATTTTGTTATTTTGATTTGTTATCAATATTTTTCTTTAATAGGTGAATTTATCCCACTTTTTTGTACTAAAAATGACATACACTTTGTCATTTTATTTTCATATCATGCTTTCTCTTAAAATACATCTTTTTTAAACTTTCACTATAAATTGATGAATTTTTTGTTTGTATTCTTTTGATACTTTTTAAGTTTATAAGTTGTTTACTTAATGGGCACAATCTAACTTTATAGTATATACATATGTTCCTTGAGTTATCACATTTAAATAACTATCAATGGATTTCCACTATAAAAGATAAAAATTTATATACCTCTACTTTCCTTCTTCTCCTCCACAACCTGTTTTGTTGATACTAATCTTAGTTCTAGGAGATACCGCTTATACTTTTAAAAATATTTAAATAATTAAATAAATATTTAATACCTCTTGTTACTTAGCAATATAGGATCATCCACTTAAACTATGTCCTGTTACATTTCCTGGATTTTAATTTTTCTACATTGTTGCAAATTAATATTTGCATTCTATGCTATAACCACATTTTCTCCTTGTTCATGCTGAGTTCTGTATTTAAATAGGATTCTAGCTTCTTTATTCAACTCCTGGAGTTTGAGCATTATTTTCAAGAAGAGTTCTTGGAAACTAAGTCCTAGCATTTTGGAAAATGTTTTTCTGTTGCTCTTATGTTTGTTTTGGCTACACTGTATGGCATGTGGGATCTTAGTTGCCTGACCAGGGATCAAACCCATGCCCCCTGCAGTGGAAGTATGGAGTCTTAATCACTGGACCACCAGGGAAGCTCTGTTGTGTTTATGTTTGAATGGCAATTGGCTAGATTAAAAAAAATTTAATACTTTTTTTCTTATGAGTTTGTACACAGACCTAACATTGAATAATTGTCTTAGAGAAGTCTGAAGGGAGCCTAATTTTTAAAACTCTTCCCTCTTAGAAGACTTGATTGGGAGGAGGAGGTTATGTCTGGATGAGCATAGGATGCTTTATCAAGTATATCTTTGATTGTTCTATATTAATTTTTTTAGTCATAATATGCCCTTACCACTTACAGATTCACATCTTCCCTTATTTCAGAAAGTTTTCTTCTAATATGTATTTGGCTATTGTTGTTCTTTTTCACTTGCCTGTTTTTTTCTCCCAGAGACATATTTTATATTGTTTTCTTTCTTTCTTCCATATCTACCATTTTCTCTATATTTATTTTCAACTTTGTTTTTTTGTCGTTTGGCTTGATTTTTGGCAAGCTTTTCTTTCCTTTCCCATGCTTTGTTGTTTCATCAGATGTTTATGTGACATTGTTATAAGCAGTGGCAATAAAGCAGAGAACAAAACAGACAGAAATCCCTAACTTCATAAAACTTATTTTAATGAATTAGACAGTAAACTAACCTGGTGGACTGCCGTCTATGGGGTTGCACAGTGTCGGACACAACTGAAGCGACTTAGCAGCAGCAAACTAAAATATATAGTAGGTCATGGAGAAGGAAATGGCAGTATTCTTGCCAGAGAAATCCCATAGACAGAGGAGCCTGCTGGGCTACAGTCCATTGGGTCACAAAAGTCGGACATGACTGAATGACTAAACTACAACAACAATACAAAAGTAGTAGATCATACAGTAATAGGTCACAGAGGAAAATAAGAGAGCCATTAAGGCCATATAAGGAAGTGAGACATTAATTGCATTTTTGAAAGGTGATCAGAAAAGGCCTTATCGCAAAAATATTCTTTGACCAAAGACCTGAAGAAATTAAGAGAATGAGCTATTTCGATACTTGGGGGAAAGCTTTCTAGATAGAAGAAATATGTTCAGGTGCCTTGAGATGGGAGTATGCTTAGTATTTTCAAGAAGTGTGAGGAGGTCAGTATAGCTGCAACAGAGTAAGCAAATGAATAGTAATAATAGGAGATTAAACCTGGGGGGTCAGGGGCCACATGATAGGCATTTATAGGCCATTATAAATAAGACCTTTGACTTTTAAGTGAAGGAATAACTGGGTCATCTGTGTTAAATGTAGTATATACCATGTATATATACTGTAAGGTTTGTTGGGGTTAGGGCAGAAGCAAGTACATGAGTTACGAGGCAGTGGAGTGATGGGAGTCAAGAGAGAATATGGATTTAGACAAAAGTGATTGTTGATGAAGAGAGATCAGATCCTGGATTTACTTGACAGTATAGCTTACAGAATTTGCTGATGGATTGAAGAAGAGAGACTGGGATGATTCTAAGCCTTTTAGTCTGAACAGCTGGAAGAGGAACTGTTGCTTACTTGTATAGGAGAAACTGCATGAAATTTGAAGGGAATAAAATCGAGACGTTTTTGGTTGTGTTAAGGTTAGGAGAGCTATTAGATAGTGGGCAGGTCTGCATATAAGCCTGGAGTTCATGAGAAGGAACCTTATATCTAGGGGTTTTCAGTATGTGGATGCTATTGAAAGCTTTACAACTGAGAGCACCAGAGAAGGGAGTGTGGGTAGAGAAGGCCTTCAGAAACAGAAGCTCAATGTACTCCCAACATGTAGGGATTGGGGAGATGGGGAATCAGCAGAGGAGGCTGAAAAGAGTGGCCAATGAGTTGGGAAGAAAACCAGGATGGTCTGGTGCTTGGGAAGTCAAGTGAAGAAGGCATTTGAAGAGTAGGAAATGATCCTTTGTTTCAAAGGTTGATAATAGGTTAAGTAAGGGCTGAGAACTGACATTGGATTAGGAGCACGAAGTGATCAGTGCCCTTGACAAACAAGTTTTTGTGGAATGGGGAGTATAAGCATAATGGGAAGAGAGGAATGTGAACAGCAAGAATAGATATTTCCAGGAATTAAAAGGGGAAAACAGAAAAACAGTAGTTGGAGGGGAAACTAGGATTAAGAGGGGTGTTTTGTTTGTTTTCTAACATGGTAGGAAAGGGCATGTTTATGTGCTGTTGGGAACAGTCCAGGAGAAAAGGGTGCATTAATGATGTGCTAGAATTGCATGGTATGGTCTGTTCTCCTCTTTGTTGATTCTCTTACAGCCATCATTTCTGTGGTTTGTTTTCTTTTTGCTGTTTTTCTATTGAGCTCTAAGAGTTATGTCATCTCTCATTGTTACATTTCTTCCATGAGTCCTTTTATCTCCTCTTTGAACTCATTTCAGAAAGGCCACATCTCATTGATTTTGTGGAGAATTATTCACAATTTTCACCTGCCTCGTGTGATTTTCATGCAGTTTTCTTCATATATGGACTTTCGGTTATAATGTTGCTTTTTTCCCCTTACAAACACCTTTATATAAGACTTATATTGGTTCCTTTTTGATTATTGGTCATCTTTGAACTGGAGACATTCTTCTAGATAAGCCATTTTCCCAATAATAAAGTTGTGGGAAGAGATTGGGAAATATAGGCAGCTTAAATTTTCCCAGTTGTTTTGGAAGGCTTTCTCACCAGCAGTTTTTTCCAGTAGTATGACTCTATTCAGTGAGTGGAGAAAAAGAGCCCCTTCTGTCACAGGTTTTTCTTGTTTAGGTTCATAAATACAACATGCACATTGGAATCACCTGTGGAACTTTACCCATAAATGGTACTACCCATAAATTCTCATTTAATGAAATGAGAATCACTGGCAGGGGGCAGCCAAGGAGAGGGGTGAGCTGAGTATATATATACTGGTTTTAAGACTTCTCAGATGATCCTCAGGTATAGTCAGGCCTGAGAATTAGTGATTTAGTTTTTACTTTTAACTGACCAAGATTAGCAGGTGTTTGGCAACAGTTTCTCCTCCACGAAGCTTGCTTCTTGCAAAAATGCCAGGTGTGGGTGTTCACATTTTCCTTGATAGACCCACACATATGTCATACTATGCAAGGGCTTCTAAGATTTGTGTTAGGTCTGCCACCTTTTTTGGAGAACTCTAAATTGTACCCACTTTGTTTGATATATGCAGCCAGGTATCTTCTGTGCATAGCTTAGTTTGATTCCATTTTTTTAATGTTATTGTGAAATATAATACACATACGTAAGTGCATAAAGTGTAAACAAACATCCATGTAACTACCATCCAGATAATGAAATTGAACATTTTCCAGAATTCCAAAAGTCTTCTTGAGGCCTCTTCCTAATTATAATTCTCTTTCTCCTGTCATAAACGTAGGCACTGTTCTTTTTCCTTACTTTTCTTTCTCATATTCATGGTTATCGATGTTTCATAGTTTCATCAAATCAGGAGTTCTCTATATATCTTGTTCTGTCTCTTCCCTTTAAGGGAAGAACATACACGAATGCCTTTATTATTTCATCTTTAACTGGAAGTAGAGAGCTATTGATTTTAAGAAATTAGAACCAGATATATACTTGAACCAGATATATGCTTGAAGATTGAACGTGGGAGGAGAAGGGGACGACAGAGGATGAGATGGTTGGATGGCACCACCAACTCGATGAACATGAGTTTGAGCAAGCTCCAGGAGTTGGTGATGGACAGGGAAGCCTGGCATGCTGCGGTCAATGGGGTCACAAAGAGTCAGACACGAATGAGCGACTGAACTGAATATACTTGAATCCATTAAATGCTTTATATTAATCTGATTTTTTAATATTTTATTTCATTTTCTTCTCAAGTCAGAGATCTACCCCAGTGGCAGAGAATACGTACTGATTGCTAGTTCAGTGTGTGATACCCTAGTGCAGGCTATTGGCTTGATTTGATTTATAGTCTTATCAGTATATGTGAAATTATAAGATAGGAATTTTAAACATTTCTCTTACAGCCATATGGCACTGGAGTTCTCAGTATAAACTAAGAATACCAGTAATCCATGCATTAACCACTTTTTAAATTTCATTTTGTTTTGGGTATCCAAGAATTTAAATGTGTATTCAAGTTAATTAAAATATTTTCTAGGAATATGAAGCCATCTACCTAGCAAAATTAACAATACAGATGATGTCACCACTTCAGATAGAAAGGTCGTTATCTGTTCATTCTGGCTCCACAGGTAAGGCTTTTTCATTTTGGAGAAATTTGGGGAGATAGATGATATGAAAAGTAAAAGAGAAGACCCATCTGTCACTCATTAGCAAGTTACAGTGAGCAATTTACATTGTTTAGAAACTTTTGGATGGGCTACTGAATTAAAATAATTTCAAATTTTAATTTTATAATTATGTATTATACTGAGCTTCTGTCTGTACACCACTAGTTAAGTAGAACATGCTGGTTGGAAGATCAGATTTCCATTTTGTTGAGCTTTAAATCTTTAAGTAGTTTAAAGTGAAAGTGTCAGTTGCTTAGTGGTGTCCACCTCTTTGTGACTCCATGGACTGTAGCTTGCCAGGCTCCTCTGTCCATGGAATTCTCCAGTCTAGAATATTGGAGTGGGTTGTCATTCCCTTCTCCATGGTTAAGTAGTATAACTGTGTTGCAGAGATTAATAAGAGGGGTCTGGTACCAGAGGCCCTAAATACACTTGGGTGATCTTATTGAAAATAAAAGGTGGTTAATAAGTGAAAGCAGGGTGACTCAGTTTCTCTCTTGCCATAAATAATCTGTCCTTTTTTCTTTCCCTATTTTAGAGTGTTTCCTCCCCCATTTAATGATCCAGGCATGCTCTCAAAATCTTTTAACTTTTACCTTCCTCTCCAAGACCTCACTACCCTTTTTTGTCTCCTTTCTTTTTATTAGAGCATTCATGGAATTTATTAGTTTATTTTTCTCTCCCAGAGTTCCTTTCAGTCTTATTTGCACCAACAGCCTTTTAAGTTAGGAAAAATAGGTTACGTACCTGGTTACTGTTGGATCTAGAAATTGAACACTGATGATCTCATCCACAAGTCCAGCACTATATTGTATCTCCTTAGTGATGAAACTATATAACCACTCTTCAAGCTTAACTTCCCAGTTGTCATTGACTCTTGTTTGCAACTTCTATGTAATCATTTTCCAAAATGGGAGGATCTGTTTCTTCAGTAACAAAAATTATTTCTTTTTATAATACCTTTAATCTCAGTATAGTTCAGGTCTGTATTGGCCTCCCATCCTAAGTGTTCTGTGGCCAGAAATATTTTCATGAAAGATAATTCTAATAGTGGTTTTCCTCCTATATAAAAGTCTTCATTGGCTTAATTTTTTACTGAAGCAAACACATAGATAGTAATTAAAGGCCCTTTTGATCTTTATTTGTATCTCTCACTGTACCTCTATATATGCACTGCAGAAAACTGAGCTACTAATGGTATCCCGTGTGTCTTCTATTCTCCACCTAGAAAGCATCACATCCAGTCTCTCCATAAAAACTTGGTTCAGATGCCTTAAGAAAACATGATTAACTTATTCTTCCTCTAATTTCTAGTTATTCTGCCATAGAGCTTTATCTATACCTCCTCACTTTCTGCCTTGAATTAGTTATCTATGTCTCTCAACCTCCCATAGTAGAATGCAGATGCAGCACTGCATCTGAATCTGTTACAACAGCTGTATTTAGATTTAAGGCTTTCCAGGTGGTGCTAATGGTAAAGAGCCCACCTGTCAATGCAAGAGACATAAGAGACATGAGTTCAATCCCTGGGTCAAGAAGATTCCCCTGGAGGAGAGCATGGCAACCTACTCCAGTATTACTGCCTGGAGAATCCCATGGACAGAAGGACCTGGCAGGCTGCAGTCTATAGGGTTGCAAAGATCAGACATGACTGAAGCGACTTAGCACGTACGCATACATTTAGACTTATTTTAATGACTAGCATATTTTCTTCTTTATTCCATCACTACTATATTTCTGTTCTTTTCTTACTAATCTTGTAGTGAAATACTAGTTTCCCATTGGAATCCAGTCCACCCTCTGGACTAACATCATTAACCATGATTTAGCACAACTTTTTAGGGCATAAATTTAAGGTGATGTAATTATTTGGCAGATAACACAGCAAACCAGTTCAGTTGTTCCCTAAAGTTTTCCTCCATTGAGACTCAAATTTCTTGATTATGATTGTTGGGCATATACAATCCCACACATGCTCTGTGTGGGAAATTTCTGTACTAGCAGACTGTGATATAAGGAATAGATAAAAGAAAATCTGCTACATGCCTTCCTTCCAGTTCCACACTTGTTGGTAACAATCAGTTTCACTGGAAAAAACATTTTTGACAGCATCTGTGAAAGCAAAAGGATAATTACATCTACAAAATAAAATTATACAAGTTATAACTTCATAAAGTTATATGAAGTTCATCAATAATATGTTCTGAGTCACATGTTTATGATGCCTAGAAAATGGTAACCAAACATTTATGAACCATTATTTTAAAAATTAATGTTCATTATATAAAATACTTTAATACTTAATTATTAAGAGGGAAGATGTCACAAGATATAAAGTTATTTGGGTAATTTGTAACAAAAGTATTTTATCAGTACAAAGGTTTACTAAAAATTCAGTCATGAAATTTCCATTGTCATATATATGATAACACTTCATGAAAAATGAAGCCTTTCCTAGCCATAACATTCTAATGAATGAATTTATTTAAGTTCTCATTATACCATATGTTATGTTCATGCAATAACTTTTAGGCAGTTTGAAGAGAACACATGAAGAAGAAGATGATTTTGGAAACATGCAAGTGGCAGCTGCGCAGAATGGCTGATTCACGAGCAGCATTATAGAGGATATGAATTTCTACTTGAGGAGAAAAATACTATAGACAGTAATAATGTAAAATGGTAAAAACACAAGCAGTTTCTTTTCAGTTATATGTTGCTTCCAGACGTGTTTCTCTGCAACTTGTTGAGCAACATTTTAAGATGTTGGACTTCTGCAATAGATGGCACTGATAGTTTTACTCCTTTTTTTTTTTAAATTCTTTAGTTTTATTATAAACCAAGAATTTTGGACTTGCAAAGAGGTATTATTGCAATAATGCACTTTTCATACTTGAAATTTATTTGTATGATATAAAGTTGTTACTTTAAACAAAATGCAAGTTAGGGGGGATTTGTTTATAAAATCTGGGTAATTTATAACAAAAGAATTTCCTAAAGTTTGCTAAAAATTCATTTTATGTTCTACATATTGCATTTTTAAAATAATTTTACAGTTCAATTTTATGATGGAGCCTCTTACAGAAACATTAACAAATGTAGAAATCTGCCACATTTCTTTTTTAGTATAATTCAATAATTTAATTATCTTTTAATTTTTTACACTTCTTGATCCCTTATTAATAATCTTTAAATCATGACATCAGCCAACTGTCCTTATTTTAACATGATCCAAGTATTGCTTCCTTTCCTATTACCTTCCTAATTTTATTCTGTAGAAAGAAAAAGTTTAATGAACAAAGGAAAGTGTTTGCTTTTTGAGGTACCAGGTGTTCACAAATACAAGGAGAGTTTTAAACTTTCAAGTGACTTTCCTTTAGTGTTCTTAAAAGCCAAATGTTCTGTTTCTTATTTTCGGAGTCGTGTAGCCCATTTTTTCTTTGTCCAAAATGGTTCTAAATATAATAAACCAATGTAGCACTATTTTTCCTAAACAAAGCCCAAAAAAGAAAAGTGCCTTGCCTCATTAGAAAAAATAAATAAATCGTCATGACCTCTAAATTAGTATGTAGAACAATGAAAAGTTTTGAACATTTTTCTATAGTTTTTTAAACCATAAATTAGTTTAAACTGAAAGTCTTAAGGCTTGAAGAAACCTGAGTATATTATTTGGAATATGGAACATATACTCCTTCATTTTATGTTGTTTTAATGATTCTGTGAGATTGTTCTGGCTCAGACAGTAACTTTTCTTTGAGGATGCATTTTTTGAGAAAAGTGATTGTGGAAGACTTCAGTGTATACAAATTAGTGTTGTATCAGTGTAGTTCTTTACATTGAGTTAATCCATACTTCCCCCATAATTTGCATTAGCAAAGTCACTTTATGGATCCTAGGTTCTCCATGTTTTTATTTGTACATATAAAAATTGTTCTTTAAAAAACACTTTTGCTATTTTAAGTATGATGTTGGGGAGGAGAGGAGTGTTTTAACTTTTTATAGTTGATGATTTAGGGTAGCACAAATGAAACTCCTTTGTATTTCATTTTTCTCAGTCCTCTCTTAAGGTGCTTTACTGATGAGAGTGATTTCCATACCTTCCTTTGGTACCATGAGGTACCACATAAGGTAACCTATTATACCAACTTACCTACTTTGCTTTCCTCCCTGAGGTGAAATAATACAGTAAAAGTTTTTTTATCCAGCAAAACAGGAGAGTGGAAGTGAATCAAAACTGCTTTGTTAATTAAGCGTTAATTCTCTTGCCCCAGGTGGTTTTCTTCTTCTGATTTCTCTTCCCTTCCCCTGTTTTACCACCCTAAAAACAGCATATCAACAATCCCTTGAGGTCTTGTATTCTGTTGTATGATTGGTGTGTTGTATCATTGGGTGTGGTGGTCTAGTATAGTCAAGATTTGCATTGAGTGTTCAGAAATTCCAGTTGGTAAAGTGCCAGATAACACAGCTTCCCTGTATATAGATTACTATTGGGTAGGTCAGCAAAGACCTCTTTTGCAAACTAATAATCTATGATGCTCCTTCCACAAAAACTGATTAAAAGAATCTTCATAAGAATCCATTTAGGTTTTAAAAATGAGGCAGTTAAGATTTTCTAAGTTAATTTCTTAAATATACATATTCTCTCTAGTAGTCTGGCCAAATAGTTTGGTTATTAAATTATATTGGATAATTTTCCACTTTTCCATAAAAATTTGTAATTTTTATGTTGTCACTAAAGTGCCTGCCCAGCACTGTAAAGACTCTCACAGACACTAGAAAAAGGGACTTCATCTTCTTGAGTACAAATTATTATGGACAAAATTTTTTTTTCTTTCATATAAGAACCCTGCGTGTTTGAGTATATTTTTCCATCCAATGTTCAACTGGTTCTTCTGGTAGTTCTTCCTATTTTTATTTGGTTCTGTTTCTATAGTTCTTTTTATTTCCTCCAATGTTTTGTGATAGCTAATTACAGTATATTTAACCAATCATGATTTATTTTCTAGAATATTTGAATAATATATGAATGACTCAGCACCCAATTATAAGCATTAAATATTAATCTGGGCACAGAATTTAAAGTGATACCACATCAGAACATAGGAGAACTGCTTTATTGTCCATTTTGAAAGTATGAAACTTAAATATTGAAAATATTCAACTAGAATGGCAGTATTCTTAGCTTGTAATTTCAGTCCATTGGTATGTGTTAATTTCGTATCAGATGTATAAAGAGCAGTTACCTTTGTTTATTTGTATCTACTCTGTGGTGGAAATGTTAAACCATGATAGCTTTTGCTACCAACTTTCAATCACTTAACTTTCAGAGCAGTATATTTGTTTTGGGGGGATTTTGTGCTTCATCTGAGTTTAGAAGTAATGTCAGAAAATGTTAAGCATGTCCTTTTAAAGAAAATATAAGGTTTCTAATTGTCTTATTACCATGGTAATTTAAGTGAATTTAGAGTATTTAACTGCAATCTTGAATTATAAAGTTGGGAATGCATATATAGAGGTATATATCAAAATCTCAACTTGATGTAAAGTAAATGAGCAGTTACCTGGCGGATTTTTTTTTTTTTTCAAATAACTGTTTAATCCATAATTCCATAACAGACTTAGCTTCACCTCAATATTTTTGTCCATTCATCAGTGCTCCAACAAGAAAATGATAGGAAATAGCTGAAAATTACTAAAAGATTTTATTTTTTTTATTTATTAGAAAAATAAGTTCTTAGGGTCTTTGAATGCTGGATTTTTTTTTTGTCTTACCCATCCATGGCAGCTAAAAAAAAAAATCACTCAAAATATTCAGGTTTACATGTTAGCTCTCTCTCATAGGGAGTTGCCATACCTCACAGTTCAAAGTGTATTCTATAGATCAGTAACATTATACTGACATGTAATTGCAATTTACTATGCAGCAAAAATGATTCAAGAAGAAAAATAACCTACAGTGTCTATTTACCTTTGTATAGACAATTGCTTAAGTTACTCTGCTTTTAACATTTGTACTTGGATAAAATGCTTATTATGTATGTATAGGAATGTCACAGTGCAAGATGCTGCTAGCTCAGGCACAAAGTATTAAAATTATTTTGTGAAGATTGGTGGTTGTATTAAAACTGTTGTGCCATTATACCTCAAAAAAGATTGAAAAGTTCATTTATATTGCTTATGCCATAACTGCTTTACTTAGATTGTTGTCTTCTAGATAAAAGTAACCCAGTTTTAATCCCGCACACAGATTAAATCTGAAGGACAAATGAACATTGGATACTGAGAAGCACTTAAGGGTATTTCCGAAAACATTGTGATTACACAAATAAAAATTATGGTCAGTACAGGGAAGTCCCAAGTTTAGGCTCAAGATATTTTTTAATGGATTATTTGAACAAGTTTGGAGTTGAAAGTGAGGGAATTTGTGTCTGAAGGAAGAGGTAAGGCCATTCATAGAACAGCTTCCAGGTCATTTTAAAAAATACTGCTTGCTTTTAGTTTTCTTCTTGTTAGCCTACCTACATAATATCCTTCATCAAATCTGAGATGTCATCAGCATCACTACAACATCTTTTTGATCCAACTAAAAGGCAAAAATATTGCTGAATAAATCATGACAAACCATTGATCATAAAATGCATCCAGATTTCCAAATGTTACATGTAAAAAAAGATGTGCATTTTAGTCAGTAAAATACAAATATATAAAACACATGGAGCAAAATAAAAATCACAACTGCCACTTCATTATACCTTTTCAAAAGTGAAGAGTACTCAAAAATATATTACTGAAATGTATCTATGCAGTTTTTTTCATACTCAAGTTTACACACAGGATGATGCCTTAGTAAAATCAAGCTTCTCTGGTTAACTAAAGCTAAATGCAGATCATCAGTTTCCTCAGTGACACAATTTTTATGCTTTATACCTTACCTACAACTTTTGTTTCCTATGAGGGGGAATTTAAGATAAGACCGTAAGAACATTATTTAAAGGGATTTATTGAAATAGCCACCTTATAGTTTTATTTCACATTGTTTAGTGGTAAGAAATGTAATAAAACATGTAATTTTGCCTTCTATCAGGGTCCCACCCCACCAGCCACGCAGGGATCTTAGTTCCCCAACCAGGGATCAAACCCATGCCCCCTGTAGAGGAAGCAAGGAGCCTCAACCACTGGACCACCAGAGAAGTTTCTATGAGGTTTATTTTTTAACATGGGTTTTTAATTACCAGGATATACCTAATAAAGCTACTGTTACCAAGGTTATAGGGCTCCTTTTTCTTAAAAAGCAAAATTTAGTTTTGTTGTTTTCACTAGGGACACACCAATTCATCTGCCTAAGTCATCAGCAGGTAAGTAGCACACCGTCTACTGGTAAAGAATTTCTATTATTTAGAAAGTTAACTAGCTTTACTGCATGGAGGGAAATATGAAATCTAGTTGAAGCAGGTGTGGGTCAACAGGATGAGAAACAGGTGTTTTTACTTTCTGTGCTCCTTTTACAAAGAGTACACAAAATTAAAATTTTACTAACCCTGACTTGACCTAATAATTTCGATAACTCAAGAAAAGCACAGAAAACATTAGAATTCTAACAAAATTATTCATATGAACAGGTTTAATGTAACATGGAATGCAGAAGATTAGAACCAGTAGTGAAGTATCTAATTCTTATTTCAACTTAAAAAAAATTAAAATCAAAATTGTGACCACAATAATAGTACCATTATAGTCACATTAAATAGAAAAGCTTCCATCAACATTTTAAGAATGTGATAAATGTAGTATGATACATTTTAAAATGTTCCACAACTTTGTAATCCATTTTTCATAAAAATGTTAGTAGGCTTTGGACACCCCTTGGCCTTTGGAAAGATGAGAAATAAGGTTAGAAATATATAATACCAGGATTTATTTACTAACTCACTGTTAAAAAGTACCTTATATTTCAGATATTTAAACAAATGAATAATTATTATATTTCACATATAAGACAGGTAGTACTTCAGCTATATTAGAATCATAACTTTTGGATGTATATTTAAATTGTCACATTTTATAAGTTAATCTTCATTTCTACTTCTTTTAAAGGCTCACCAGGTTGTCTGCCAGTACAGTATTAGGATCGGCAAATGTTGGACTGTACTACATTTAGTTATATCTAACATCCAATTTCATGTAACATGTGAAATGACACACCCTTAAGTGGTATTTAGATATATTTCTTTGAAACAAAAATATTAACTTTATGAATGTGATAAGAAACAATCTTATTCACTGTATGCTTTTTTTCTTTTAATGAACAGTACAGATAGCAGACACATAACTCCTTACTACCTATACTCTGACCACTAAGAAATGAAGCCAAACTTTAGAAAAATACAATGCAAGAAAAGATTCAAGTTAAAAATATACTCCTTTGGTTAAAAATCATCCCCTTAATAATTTTATTTGTAATCTAAACTCAGCATGTCCCACCAGCCCAAAGTAATCTTCTAAATGTCATTATACTTGTATCACAATGTTTTTTCCAATCCAGTATTTATGGAGGTCACCTGGTTGCAGCAACAAAATATTTTAACTCAAGGAAGAGAGTATAGCCTTGCTGCATCAGCTCCTTTGATAGATGTCTTTCTTAAAAGATTTTACTTTAGAAACCTCCGACACATGTAGTTTTCTTCAGATACTGTATATCCGAACTTTTTATAGAAACCAACATTTTGTGGTAGACATTCCAGGGTAATCTTATAACAGTTCAGTTTCTTGCTTAGCAAAGTAAGGGTTGATAATAACCTGAAATTTTAAAAAGGGTTGGGGGGAGAGGCATAGAGCATTTGTTAATAAAAATGGATATTAGTAACAATGTGAGTGAATATGTTACAAAACTTTGTTTATATTACAAATAGGTTTATATCATGGCCTTTCCCATTATATTCATTTAAAATTCAAGTTACAAATACATAAAGCATTTAAATCACTGAAAGCATTTTACTTTGTTCCAAATATACTTTAGTCTATTAATAAACAGAAAACTCACCCCAAACCCTTTTTACAAGTAGATTTTAAAATTAATGTTAACACGAAAGACTGGCAACCTTTTAAAAAATATGGCCAAAATTAGTCTTTGTATCTAAATTCTATTCAAACTATTTAGTCAGTGTTGAATAGTCAAAACCATTCAGTCAGCATTCCCACATAAAGTGGGTAAATAATTGCTTTGTTCTTTGTCATTTTTAAAGCTACCTAAATATCTGTGAAGGAATGTATCAGGTTACCCTACAGATTTAGTCTAATTAATATGAAGTGGAAACAAAAACATATCTTTATAAACCCTTAAAAAATCCAAACCAAGTATAAAAATGTGATTCTAACTGCCTTAAGGAGAGAAAACTAGGAATTTTCTCATGTTGCCCAGATAGAAAAAAACCTCATCATTCTGAAGACAGAACTTCTTGCTTGAAGTTGCACAATTATAAAAGGTATGGCTAAGTGAACGTGCACTAGAAATACTAGAAATCGGTCTGTTTTGTTCACTGATATGTATCAAATACTTTGAATAGTATCTAGCACATGTGCTTAATATTTACTGAGTGAATTCCTTAAAACTCAGAAAATATTAAAAAGCAAATTCTAACCTATGAAACTTTTAAGAGACTTTGATAAATGTATAGAGGATTATACAGTGAAGGTCGGTTCAGTATATGGTTCTAAAAGTCATATGACTGAGAACATGTCCTTTGTTTTGAAATGTGATAGACCAATAACTTGACTCACCAAAAGTTTCTTCTTCCTAGTAATATGAAAAAGTATTACTACTAAAAGTTAATAACTTTAAGGTGTTTGCTGCTTTAACAGTACAGTTCCAATTTCCAAACTTTATGGTAAAAATTATATATAAAAACACTTTTCCTTAAATTCAGTCTAAGCTATAGAGTGAGAATGGGTTCATAATTAATGACACTTAAAAAACTTCAAACAGGAAAACATTTTTAACAAGTATCTTGGCAAGCAAATGTAAACTGCAACACAGAGTAGCTACTTTATCCAGGGTTACCTTGTTTCTGCCTACTTACAGTTTGCCAAGCTGCTTTCCTCTGCATTCATCACTAACAACAACATCTTCTACTCGTCCTCTCTGAAAATATTTACAATGTTTAAAAGACTAAGCATGTAGGTTTTGTTTTTAGTTAAATCAGCAAATGATGGTAAGAACTCATTGATAAATGTTTTATAAACCTTAACTTCAAAAACTGCAATTTTTTTTAACCTCTTATAGAGGAAACAATACAGTGAATCAATTTGTGGCCTAATTCGTCTATATCCTGAACCATCCCATCCTATTATTTTAAAACAAATCTCAGAATCCACATCACCAAAATGTAATCTTGTTATTAAGGTACTACATCCATTATCCTATTCCTGCTTAAAAGCAATTTATTTCAGACATACAAATACAGTATACTAATTTCTAGTACAGAAATCACACCAAAACTCATACCTCACAGAATACATTCCAAGTGTTTCTATCATATTCTCACAGGATTATCTAGATCTTGTTTACTATTTCATGTGAATCATGAGGAGTGAAGGGACTCTACAGGCACTAGAAGGGTCATGATTAGAACATATTATTCTGAACCCTTTACCACTGGGAGACTGATGGGAATTTGTGTTAATGTAGTACATTCCAAGTATCATTTTTGAAAAAAATTAGCATTAGTGATTCCAAACATTACTGCCAAATTCCACAATGTTGACGTGATTTCTCTACATCTATACCAATTCTAACACCTTGCAGAACAATTTTTAGCAAACAACTCATGTTAACATTTTCTGTCTCACAACTCTTAAGAGAATGGGAAAATGACTAAGTGATTTCTAGAAAGCAAAACTATTCCAGGCAATATTTTGCTCTCTCATTTTGGAGTAAAAAGCAGTGGGAAAACAGACTTGTCTGATGGAAACTAGAAGTTGATATCCATTTTACTCATAAGCATTAATGTGAACACATACCTTAGCACAGGAATGGATAAATTTATGTTCTATTATCAGGGTTGCTGTAGCAACTATCTGGCCTAAAGTTACATCTTCCACAACTGTAACATAGTAATCCCCAGATTTCTTCATGTGCTCAAAAGATTCTGTGGAAATTGGAAAAGAGTGTTATATAGACATTAAACTTTTATTAGGTGCTCCCCACAAAAAAATACGAGAATTAGCCAAAATAATTTAATGAATATTTAAAGCTATTCTACCACAGTAATTTACAACTTTGTGTCTAGAGAAAATGTCACTTATTAAGCATGACCATGTATTTGAAACATCAGTAGTCAGTACTGACTAGAACATAGTTCATACATTTAAAAGATCTGCTAGCAGAAAAAAGGAAGACTAATATAGCTATTTTATAATCTGACAAAGTAGTTTTCAATTTTCCTCTTGTGATCTCAAGTGTTTCATGATTACATGACCTGTTTTAAAAATAAAATCATCATTTTTGTTTGCTTTGAAAGCATCCTGTGAAATAGATAAAAAATAAGTCTCCATTTTCCAGTAATTTTCCCAAAGCCACATAGCAAATAGGAGCAAAAATGGAATAAGTGCCTTCCCCTCAAACTGACTTATACTGATGAAATAACATGATTTCTCATGTAATATTCCCGCAAAGAATAATTTAGGAATAAAAACTGAGCCCAAGAGTATTAACATACTGTTTATTTCCACAGTTGTATTCTAGTAATAGGTCTGAAATGGGAAGAAATAGATTCAAAGAAGGAAGACAGAATCAGAAAATAATGACCTTCATTTCAAGAGGGTCATATAGAGTACAAAATAAAATTACCTATTGAAGAAAATGAAGAAGATAGGAAGACAGTGTTAAGAGCACTGGATGGAGTCAGGAAGGTTGTAGTTTTTTCCTTAGCAACAACAACCTGTGATTTTGGGTAAGTCAATTGACCCCTCTGAGTTTCTATCCTTACATATTTTTATTACATTTTTTGACGATGAAATTTCTGTGAAATAACCTATGTGAAAGGAAAATACTATAATAAAAATCTCTAAAACTGCCACCCAGGTTCTATGCTATAGTAATTATCTAAAAATAGCCAGGTATTTTGTAAAAAACATAGTTACTTTTGGATTCTAGAATAGATTGGCCACATTAAACAAATAATAGCTAATTTGTTATTTGAGTATTTTCCAGCTATTTGAACAAACATATAAACACTGAACAGAGCTTGAAACAAAAATGAAATCTTGTTTCCCTTTATTTCTTTTTCTTCAGGAAAAAGAGGACTTACTCATAAATTGTTCTGGGTTGACAGCTCCAGTCTCTGTCAGCTGACCTAGTACCTTAAAAAAACCTAGTTTTGAAAAACAGATTTCAAGTCATGAGAAGAGCAAATACATATTAAAAGAAGCAATGTGTCAAGGTGGGGGGCATTATTTTTTCAAAACTTTCTATAATGAACCATTCTTAAATTATTTTAAAAGATTAAACAAACCCATTCTTTCTATATAATCAATATGGAAAACAATAATAGATTTTACCAGTGTTTTTGCCTGCATAAGATTTTTGGAATAGTGCTGACCTTAAGACTCAGTATTTATAGAACCAGTATATACAGTTTTAAATGTAATTTGCAGTAGATTCAATGCAAGGAATGTCAGATTTTCTCAAATATGTGCTTTCATTTTACTTAAAAATGCAAGATTCTTATGACCAAATATTATTTGTAAAATATAACATTGTTGAGATAACCGTGTTTTTTTAAAGATTCCTGATTAATGTGATGTTAATATGAACAGCATAGAACTTTGGGAATCTTAACTTTTATATACCAAAGAACTGATTTGACCAAAATAATTTAAGATTTCCTGCCAAAAAATGAAACTGTAAAAAGTTGATTTTTGATTACTGAAATTTAAGGATATTATTTTGGAGAATTTAGATATTAAAAAAAGGAATACATGTAGATAAAACCTTTTGCAACTATCTGAGGCAAATTATCTTCATTCTCATTCTCCATCCAGCTTCTTAGAGAAGATTCTTACTTTTGTGTCATTATACAAGATAATTGCCCCCTTTTGGCTGCTTAATTAGGAAGGAGCACTGTTGTATATAAGTCATTTGAAATAGTATAATACAGTACTGTATAGTACAGTAATATCTGGCCTATACACATTGTAATTAAGTTCTCAGTCATTTTAAAATTTAAGTGCAAAAAAGTAACAGGAAAGTCAAATATTTTTTAAAATTATCAGCATCATCATATATGTGGAAAAAACAATGCTAACTATAAGTCTAACTAGCATTTGTAAACTGAGCCCATACCTCTATTTAAATCAGCAGTACAAAGAGGCCTCAAAACCAAACCTTCTCCAGGATGTGTTGGGGAAATGGCTGGAGAAAATGTAGCTGTATTCTGACTCCAGTCCACTTCTTTGAGTAGACTTGGGTCAAACATAGGAGTTTCATCAGGTTTCATCTTTGCAGTAAGATCTAAAACAAAATTTTAAATGTTAAGGCATTTTATTTAATAGACAATTTTTGATTGGTAAGATTGTCAATTTCTTAATAAAAGTAAACAGCACTTAGAAAAATCTTTAACAGGTATGCAAGATACTTATTTTAGTCTATCCTAAATGTAACATCAAATGCCACAGCTAGAGCTATGTAGAAAACTCAGAAATTCTATCATATAGTAAATGACTAAATTTAGAAGTTGTTACACTTTTAAACTTCTTTTTTCTAACAGGACTTTTAAAACATTTTTTCGTATGGGCCAGTGCTACTAGCATGCATTTTGAGTAGCTGACTTTTAAATGACTTCTTTTTTTTTTTTAAACATTATTGGATTAAGGAATAATTTGTTGGTTTTACCTGCCCAGGAAGACTACTGGGCATGTAACTTTAAAAAAAAATATGAACCATGAACAGAAGATTCTGCATTCACTGGAATATTTGGTCTCAGCTATGATAAATTCACACTAAGTATCTATTGGATTTTGTTTTCATGGCAGGTTTTCTAAAAATCTAGAAGTTGCTCAGCTGCATCTAAGCAACTTTTTAAGAATAGCCTGTGTTTTTCATGCTATTGAAAAATGATCAATTATGGTATTTTTATCTCTTTTTTGAACATTCAGAAATAGGTTCTTATTAGGTGTAGTCTTAATAAAACTGAAACTAAATGAAAGCTATAATGCTAGAATGAAAAACATGAAGCACAGAAATGGCTGCGGGGGGCACACCTCTGTAGAAGAGAGTTGCTGGAGGAAACAGTCTTCCAAACTATTACTCGGAGACTCTGGTTAACACTAAACTTTCATTTCTAACACCACACCCAGTTAAAGAAACCAGAGTTGCTCCTTGAACAGCACGGGTTTAGGGTGCCAATCCTCCATGCTGTCAAAAATGCACAGTAGAAAATTCGCATGTAACTTGTACCCCGCCCGCCGTATCTCTGGTTCTGTAATGGGAGATTCAACTTACTTTGAAATGTGTAGTACTGTACTGAAAAAAATCTGTGGGTAAGTAGATCCTTGAAGTTCAAACCCATCTTATTAAGGGTCAACTGTATTCTATTTTATACCTGCCTCTAGTTTTTTGAAACAAAGAATTTAAAGACAAATCTATCTATCTATATGCATAATATACTACCATAAAACAAGAAAGCAATACAGGAAAAAATTAAAGTCCACTTAATAACAGAATAACTTCCCCCAATAACCCAACTCCCAGATGTTCTCTATTTCACAAATCACAGTATGTCTAAGGGCAACTATTTTTAACTTTTCCATAAAGGTAGATTACATTGCATAACCCAATGTAACTATATAGGGAATGCTGCAGTCTAGCAGAGGCTTTGAGTCCTAGAGTACCAATGATGATTATCTCCATGTTAACAGATGAGGAAATGCAGGTGTAGACAAGTAACTTGCCCAAGGTCACAAAATCATAATAGCAAACCCGAGATTGAAACCTAGACAAGGAAAGACCATGAGCTCTAGAGTCAGACCTGATATTCAGATGTCAACTGTCTGATCATGGCTATGTAAATTAAACAATCTGTTTCCTCATTTGTAAAATGGAGATGAAACTGTTGAAGAAATGGCTTAGTGTATACAAACACCTAACAGTGCCTTGCACACTGTACATGCTCAACACAATATAATTTAGTTAGCTACTGATTTAAAATTTATTTTTTATATGTTCATGTTAACTTTTCTAACTTTTTATATATTCAAGTTTTTTCACTTTTAATTCATGAGTCACACTGCTGGGTACAGCAGCTACAAAAAGGTTATGCTTATGTTAAACTGAAAACATTCTTGGAAAGGAAGAAAAAACTTGCTCTAAACACTATGCTTGGATCTAAGAACAGTAAGGAAAGGAAATTGTGATGATTAAAACAGTCATTCATAAAATTTAACCAGCTTATGGTCTATTTGGGGACTCCTCGGTGGCTCAGCAGTAAAGAATTCATGTGCAAAGCAGGAGATGGAGAAGACTTGGGTTTGATCCCTGGATCAGAAAGATACTCTGGAGGGGGCATAGCAACCCACTCCAGTATTCTTGCCAGGAAAATCCCATGGACAGTATTGGACATGACTGAAGCGACTGGGCACACACCCATGGTTCATTTGAAACAGGTTTTTTTTAATAAGTAATTTTAGTGCATGCACTTTAGTATTTGTCCCAGATAATTGGGTCCCTGAAGCCTTTGAGTACTCTAATCTGAAAGAAGGGGCTTCCCTGATAGCTCAGTTGGTAAAGAAGCCACCTGCAGTGTAGGAGATCCGGTTCCATTCCTGGGTTGGGAAGATCCTCTGGAGAAGGGATAGGCTACCCACTACAGTATTCTTGGACTTCCTTTGTGGCTCAGCTGGTAAAGAATCCGCTTGCAACGTGGGAGACCTGGGGTCGATGCCTGGGTTGGGAATACCCCTGGAGAAGGGAACAGCTACCCACCCAATATTCTGGCCTGGAGAATTCCATGGACTGTTTAGTCCATGGGGTACCAAAGAGTTGGACACGACTGAGCCACTTGCACTTTCATTTGGTCTTCCCTTGTGGCTCAGTTGGTAAAGAATCAGCCTCCAATGCGGAAGACCAGGGTTCTATCCTGGGTCAGGAAGATCCTCTGGAGAAGGGAATAGCAATCCACTCCAGTATTCTTGCCTGGAGAATCCCATGGACAGAGGAGCCTGGAGGGCTACAGTCCATGGGTTGCAGGGTCGTACATGACAGAGCGACTAACACACACACACACAAAACTTAGTCAAAGCAGCACTCATAACCTGTATTTGGAAAATAAGAATTTCAGGCTAGTTAAAATAGCATTTTGGATAGAAATAAGAATCCATATTCTTATCCCAATCAAAAATCAATATCAAAATGTTTATATGAGCTATTTTACAAAACAGAGCCACACTTAAGGTTACCTTCTTTTATTTTGCCATGTCCCCATGTAGTAAAATTCTGTTGGTGTCCAATTAATATACTGAGCAAGTTAAAGTAAGATGTGATTTGATACTAAATTTCAAAAGATTAGAAAACAGCAAAATTGTTAAGTTTATTTGGTTTGCAAAAGATAATATTCAGCATCTTAAAGCACACCCAGGTACCACAATAGGAATTTGAAGCCGAATTCCATCATTATCACTGGAGTCTAATTTGGGGTTTTGGGTTTTTTTGGCCAGGGGTGGGGGTGAGGGGTCTGCTGCTTGTGGGATCTTAGCTCTCCAACCAGGGATCGAACCCAGGTCTACGTCAATGAAAGCACCAAGTTTTAACTGCTGGACTGCCAGGGAATTCCCTCGTTGGGGTCTTACTCTGAAGATTTTAGATTAATTTTAACCGTTATGTATTTCTCAAGAAACTTTTCTGTTTAACTACTAAGTTTACATGCATTTAAAGGCCCATAATGCCTAAGCTTAGCACAATAAATGCCTAGTGAATGAATAACGAAGGGTATAAGACTTATCTGGAGGTCATTCAGAAAATCCAGAAGAAAAAAAGATTTCCAAACTGCCCACAAGTGATATCACAAAAACCATACAGCAAATTCATTTTTACTAAGATCACATCAGTTGGTTGACCGTTCTTTGGACACAATTTCAACAGGTTTCTCACAGTCTTTACTGAGCTATACACAAGGGGATGAGCTGCTGCTAGGAACAAACAACTGAGAGCAACAAGTAATAGATACTGGGAATGAAGTTTCAGAAGTTGATATAAAATTTTGAAAAAACAATCTAAGGTCAAATCTAAACTTGTCTTTATATCTCATGAGCTCTTGGAGCATTACTGTATTACTTTAGTACACGGTTAAAGCAGGAAGGGGGACCTTGTGCTGTTTGAGACTTTGGGGTTAGTCTACATACATTTCATAACAATTTCAATAATTTGAATTTTGTTTGAACCTAAGAAAACTTCATTCACTGATGATTTTAATAGGCTTGGCTATATTAAATTATGCAATTACATTTCAGTTGTGAATTTTAAAACTTCTTGATAGTTTGATCCCTGTAATTTAGGCATTATTCCCAGTCTATCCATGAGCATGCTAGAGCACGTGGAGCTTTTGGGACTTGACCTCAGGGTAATAGCCAATGAGTGGATCTTAAATCCTCCGATGTCGTTCTTGCCCTACAGTACCATACTTAGTAGAGGCCAATCTTTACATCATCATGCCAGACTGGGAACTATCTCCCCTATTCTTTTTTTTTTCCTCCCCTATTCTAAAAAATGTCAGTGAATCCTGCCTAATGAAACTGACCTAAATGATTTCCTGAGATCCATTCTAGAATTCATTCTCGAGTGTATATCCTAACAAAACTAGTCGCCCTTCAATTTTGTATGGCATTTTAAGAGTTGATTTACATAAATGTTAGCTCCTGTAAGAGAAGTGACAATACCTAGTGTCTCTAGGAGGTGGAAGCCCCCGGAAAAGACAAAGGATGTCCGTCTTTCCTACAGTGAAACACCGATTTAATCAGTGCAGGAGGCGATCTTCGGAGCAGAATCAGGTCCTCAAGTGGCTCCTGACCGCCGTGTGGTGCTCCTCCGAAGGGGACAGGGGAACAGGGCGGCCAACGGCGTTCGTGCCCATTTCAAAAAGCCGAAGGCGGCAGAGACTGAACAGCTGCCTCAATCCCCCACGTTAAAGCTGCCTAAAGAAGTCAATTTCACCCTAGTCTCTGCTCCTGCCTTGCTAAGGCCACCTCCTGCATGGCTGGACCACTGGCCACCATCCCTAACCTCTGCTCCAGGCGCGCGTTCGCTCAACTTGCTCCAAACTGCCCTCTACGCCCCCATGTGCACCCAGCTGGCGAAGATGAAATGCCTGGATCCCCGCACGGAATCTGCCCCCGCCCCTCGCCGGGCCTAGCTCGCCTCGCCCCGGGGTAGCAGTCACACCTGTTTGATAAACCTGAAGGCAGGCCCAACCCGGCACTCAGGGCATCCGCTCCGGACCCGCTCTCT